CTAGTATCCGCTACTATCGCCATCCTCTTCTAGTATCTGCTACTATCACTACCTCAGTCTAGTATTTGCTACTATCGCTATCTTCTTATAGTATCTGCTGCTATTGTGTACTTAGTATATGAGGAAGATATTGTAAAAATACTTCTATGCATTATTTCTTGTGTAATTTGGGATACGGAATGGTATTTAAGAAGTTCAAAGTATTCCACATTCAAGACCTATCTATATATTTATAGGGTAGAGATCTACTCCGTGGATGTTATAAAAGTCGTAAGATAGAGTCTAATTAGACAGCCTGTATAGTCCTTGGGTGCAGAATATCAGGCGATAACATGTGCTTTAACCCCGGGGCCCTTTTGGTAGTGTCTGCGAAGCGCAGACGGGCTCGACAACGGAGTACCCTGGAACCAAATCAGACCGCGTTCGTAAACTGTCTAAAATCAATCCTTATATGAAAACAGAGATAATCTTGCTTATCTCGCCAACGATGATAAACTTCGCCGGGCATGATAATGGCTGCGCCTGTTGCCTATAATGGATTACTAGTAAGAGCATGGTCGTAAATAAGTAAGGTTTTAATTCTAAAATATATAGGATTATGCTTTAAAGGTGGCATGGCGTCGTTCTTTCGGTGATTGCTGCTGTTTCCGGCAAGATACTGCTGGTATCCCTCTCTATCTTTGTATGTCTGCGGTATTGCTTCGGAAATGATGACGAAAAAGATTTTGATTGGTTAGGAATTTGTTCAGAAACACGTTTTCTCTAACTCGTTGGTGATGTTGTTTTGGTGGAGATGTGCGACCGAAAAAAAAACTTCATTTTAATGTGTTTTAATTTTAAAGCTAGGTACCATATATATTGTTGATAATTGAGAAAAGACGACTTATAGTTTTTCTACACAATGGTATTCTTATCTGAAATCTCCATCGCCGAGTTAAAGCTGTGACGTGAGAATACTAGATATTGAGATGACCCACCGCGGTGAGCCGGGAGCCGCCATGGTGGGGCGCGGGGCTCACCGAGATCAAGTCCGGCGCTTTAATTATTTTTTTTTCTACCATGAACCAAATTCCAGCAACAGTTGATGCTTCCGCCTCAGCCTTGCCGAAATGTCGAGGAATACAGTGCAGCCCAATGGATGGGTTGCAATCAGACTACCGAGCGAGGTGACGCGTGTTCTTCAGGTGGTTCCCAATACGTCAGTCTCTCTTCTCTCTCTTCTTCCTCGTACCGCTTTGATGGTGTGCGACTGACCAGCTTTCCAGAACCATTTCTCTCGGCAAATATGGCTCGTTTCCGAGCAATCTTATAATCGAACGGCCCTACCATCTCACTTATGAGATTCAGGACAAGCGCGAAGGCGAAAGCTTTCCCCGATTACGAGTCGTTCCCGGCACAGAACTCAATGCCGATAAGCTCGCCGATGTGAGCGCCACAGAGTCCGCCGAGGGAGACGACGTTATCGAACCGGCGAATGGAGAGGAGCTCACGCTTGTCGATGAGAGCGGCAAGGTTGTCGCACGGTCGAACCGCGAGGTCATTGACGAATCTGCGCGCCAGACGCTCACAATGGCCGAGATTGATCAGCTGAAGAGGGAGGGTGCATCGGCGGGCAAAGAATTGATCGCCAAGCTGATGCTCTCTCATACGGCGATTGATCAGAAGACGGCATATTCGCTGGCCAAATACAAGCTCCTCAAGGAGAGAAAGTATATGCGGCGGTTTACTGTTCTGCCTCTGGACGTAGCACAGCTCGGACAGTGGATGCTGGTTGAGAGAGATGCCAGCAAAGTCATGGAGATGCGACAGGAAATGATTGGCTTGCTGGGATGCTGGGCTGATGTACACTTTGGTGGCCTGCCAATTGAGGGTGCACAAAGCCCGCATGGTGGGCGATGGCTGGCTGTCGATGATACGGGAGGTCTGTTGGTCGCGGCTATGGCTGAGAGAATGGGGCTATTGCACGCAGAAGCTCCAGAAGAAGAGGGCACATCAACAGATGCCGCCCAGCAGGAGCAGAACCCAGAGCTGCAACCCAACGAGGAGGCGGGCACAGCGGCGGCAGAGCCTGCCAAGGCACAGAGAAACAGACCCAAGCGGCCTCGAAAAGACGACCTAGACGACCACTATGCTCTTACAAACAGCATCACCCTCATTCACGCCAACTCGCAACCCAACCTCTCTCTCCTCCGCCACTTTGACTACGACTTCAGCGATCCCAACCCTCCATATCCCTACCACCCGCTCTTCACCAATTTGCTACCAATCTCCTGGCTTCAGCTGCTGGATCCTGAAGCAGATCCTACATATGCAGAACCAGCACCAGAAGTAGACTCCGAGACCCTTGCATCCTGGAAGACCAACCGGCGCGCAAACTACCACCGCAAGCGCCGGCGATGGGCTCGCACCCGCCAAATCGTCGACGCGACTCGAGCGGGTGGCTTCTCCGGCCTCGCCGTGGCAAGCACCATGGATCCCATCTCGGTGCTGCGGCATGCGCTCCCGCTCCTTGCCGGCGGCGCACCCGTGGCCATCTACTCACCGACAATCGAGCCCCTGACGCAGCTAGCGGACTGCTTCAGCATTAGCCGACGTGGCGCCTGGGTGTCGAATCCTCCGGCTGAGGCAGAGGGCAAGACGACGACGGAGCTGGAGAACTGGGCTGGCACGCCGGATTTCCCCATCAACCCGTCGCTGCTGATCGGTGCGCAGGTGCAGACGAGCCGGGCGAGGAGGTGGCAGGTTTTGCCTGGCCGGACGCATCCGTTCATGACGGAGAGGGGCGGGGCGGTCGGCTTTGTGTTTACGGGATGGAGGGCGATCCCTGCGGAGGGTAATATAATGGCCAGGGGCAAGTTCCAGAGGAAGAAGCCGAAGACTGGGTAAAAGTTACGTACGGCTAGTTGTAATAAAGATTATAGAGGCCAGTGGCCATGTGTGACAAACAAGTGAATAGAACATATGAACACTCCTTGAGAGTTGACGCGAATGAATCCCCATGACGATGAATAAATATGTATTCAGAGCCAGGTGCGATCCATGCTCTCTCAAGTTGCAGTAAAATAGTATATTGACCTTCTAAATGCCACCAAGCAACTCCGCTTCTCTTACAACGACTTGTTCATGAACTTTCTCTTCGTGAAGCTCAACCACCACTTGCTGGGCTTGGTCTCATCCTCCTCGTACACTCTAGCTAGTAACCGGGATGCAAGCTCCTGTCGGACCTGCGCCATGTACAGCTTAAGCTGCTCTGCGTCCTGCCTGTCTCGAGGGGGTTCGTACATCTAAAGGAGTTGGGGGTAATGCGTTAGCTCCTGGAATCCCGGACGAGCTTCGTTGCGTTTAAGGTCTCGAAGAAAGTTGGACATGAATTGACAAACCTGGTTTAGAGGGAATCCCGGGTCTCCAGGAATAGCAAAGTTGAGATCCAGCGCCAAGTTGTTGACCTCCTTAGCAGCATCGCGAGCCGAGGCATTGGGCTTGATCTTCTGCAGGCAGTCGCTCACGAACCAGATGCCGTAGACGAGCAGGCGGTCAGCGGGGCCCTTGATCTCAAAGTTGCGGAAGAAGGTGTTTGCGCGGAAGAGGCGCAGGACCTCGTCGAGGATGTCGTAGCTCTCGCTCTCGATCTCGGGGGACTCGTGGGCGGGCAGCGGCGGTGACGGGAAGGGCAGGACGTAGGCTGGGCCGCGGGTCTTTGTGCGGAGGGGGAGGAGGGGGAAGTTGCCGATGAGGCGAGGGGGGTTGGGGTCGGAGTTGAAGTCGGAGTTGTAGGCCTGCGAGTTTCATATCATGGTGCGAATTAGCAAAAAGATTTCGAGGCGAGGGCGAGCTGTCTTTGAAAGAGTCGGGAGAGATGATGATAGGCCAGAGGTCATCGGTAACCAGGAGAGGTCCCCGGTGACAGCTCCGGTGCGAGGCCGGGAGACGAAGGTCGGGGCTGCTTCGACGAGGATCGGCAGGGTAATGGACGTACCGGCATCTTGGACAGCAATGGCTCGACGCTGGGATGGGAATGAGGCGTCAAGAAGCAGAAGTACGAGATGGTCTGCGCTGGTTGGTTGGCGGGGCTGCGCTGCTCCTAAGAGGCCGAAGCTGTCGTCAGTCAACGCTGGCAGCCAGAAAGTGGGGACACGAGTACTGTACAGCACTGTACCTATTCTAGCTTAGCATCCCCCTGCTGAGGTAATCGTGATGCCTTGCCACCTGTGCCACATGTCCAGGCAAACAACAAGCCAAAAACACGCTAGCACCGCCACTCAACAGCTGGCTGCCTAGCATCACGTGAATTCGCTCACTGCTCGCGCCGCCCACGCCCTGCCGGAACGCGCCTGTTGCTGACTCTGGCCGTGCAAATGGGGGGCGTTTTGTTGCGGCCTAACAGAATACATAACTATTAATTGCCTGCGCGGCGCGTGTCTGCAGCCTCTCGTTCAGGACTTTGTCTCACGTTTTGTTCACTCTGGGTTCATCTTGCAAAGTCTCCTTTTTTTTGTTCCCTTTTCTCCCTCGCTACCAGTTTTTATTCTATTTTTTTTTACAAGTTCATTTGATCCTCCCTGCAAACAAAGAACCTACAGGCTTGCTCCTCTTCCATCTCCAAATTCCTCCTCATCCCCGGTCTACTTTTGCGCTTGGTGGCTTTCCGCTAGCAAACCCGGGTACTATTTGGAGAGAGAAGAAAAAAGCAAAGTTTGCGGGGGAATTAAGCAGGGAATAGGCGTGCAGCCATTTTTTTTTCTTTGTCGCGTCACAGCGGGGGAGGGCCTCATATATTCGGAGTCCGGACGCACGGTAAGTTGTGATTCACGCACTGAGAGATGCTCATCTGAGGGCCCATCAACCTCGCCCCGTTCTATCATGTCTATGTATTAAAAACAGCCTCTTTTCGCGCGCATCTCTGGCTAATGCTTATTCGCAGCTCCATGTTTCTTCAAAGCGCCATCGTGGCCAAGTTGCGTGCTCTTGTGGACGACATGACTCCATCCGGCAGCCCCTCCATGCAGGCCTCATCCGGCACCAGAGAAGAAACCGAGAGTGTGCCGGAGTCGCCTGAATCGACTCCGCCGACAACACAGAGGCCGAAGCTGGCAGCATCACCACCGCCGCCATCGCTTCCGCCGCGACCTCGTCCAGCACGGCGCATAGGCCGAATACGCCGCCCGAAGAAGGGCTCCCTGCGTGACATCCTTCGCCAGAATGCCGGAACTTCCCTCTTCTTGCGGCCCATAGGTTGGACGGACCTTCATGCTAGCCTGCTTGGTGTCCGCTTCTGTGAGCTGCCAGTCTGCGACACGCCGCGGCCCTGCACCTTGCCGGGCTCTCCGCCAACGCAGGGCCACATGCGACCGTCAAACACCATCACCAAACTGAGCGAGGCGCTGACGGAAATTCTGGTTCCCTCCTCGTCGCTACCAAAGCCAACATTCACAGCTGTCAAGGCCGTCTTGATGACGCTTTGGCCAGCAGCCTTTGCAAAACCGCAGCTATTCCCAGAACTCAACATCTACTTCGGCGACAAAGTTTATTATGACGCCGTCAGAGTGCAGGCCATGTGGAACTTTCCTCCATCTTCTGCCTTGTCATCACAGAGCTCTGTCGCTACAGTGGTGACCCGACCTGCTGAATCCTATGGATCCTCGTCATCGACGACACCTCACTCTACTGCAAACTTGCCGATGTTATGCTACATAGGGAAGAATCAACTGGCGTCAATACGTCAAAATATCTTTCGTGTGGCTGTCGGTCCCGATAACAACCCCAACATCCCTGTCCAACGACTACAACAACTCCGGGGGAAGCGTCTTATTCCGGCAGATGCTGACCAAGATCCGCATTTCGTTGGTATTTTTCTGGCCATGGCCCAGCGCCATTTTTACACCGCACCGACACAGATATTCGCAAGAGAAACGTATTGGCCTCGAAAAGGCGACTCTCGCCGACCCGACTTTCAGGATGTCAAGATGAGGATTTTGACTCATGATACTGAGACTTGCGAATTCCTGGTTTATACGGGACATGTTACGGCTAAATTCCTCGAGCGATTTTACGACCCATCCAGCGCGCCGTGCGACGAAGATGGTAACATTGAGGGAATGAAGATTGAGTTTGCTCGGGTCCCCATCTGGCCAATCCTCGGATTACGAGAACGACTGGGCAAAGCCCTCGGAGAGGATATTGTGGGCTCGTTTGACCCAAATTATATGGAGACGTGGGAAGAAGACAGTCCTGCATCACAGTCGAGACCTGCAGAATCAGATGCCAGAGTTGCCAACATCAAACGAAAGCGAGGAACTCCACCGACAATAGAAAGTTTGGAGGAAGAATCGGACGAGGATGAGGCCAGCATGGCTGACAAGAAGCGGTGCTTGAGCGGGGAAGGAAACCGTGTGGGCGTGGTGGTATGAGAAGAGAAGAAAAAAGAAAAAGAAAAGGGAACACAAAGAACATGGTAAATTTTAATTGGCGACGCTTGGACGTTGCCGTCGGCGTTGGGTGGGAGGCTTTATGAAGATGCATGATTCAACATAATGGGTAGAAAGGGAGGGAGGGTTGTACACTAAGACAGGTTGGCGCTGGCAGAAGTCAGGTCTTCGAAACGGATTGGAGGTGTTTTATGAGGCTCTTGGTTCTCACGGATTTCAAGCTGAAAGACACATGGACTCGTCTATTTATAGCGAGACGTATAATGACAGCGCTTTTGCTCTTTTATTTCTTCTTCTTTGGTTTGTAAGATGCACACTGATATCACGGACGAGGGAGCACGTCAAGTTAGGTAGGCAGCTTTAGATACTAGGTAGCATGGGCCAGATGTTATACACGGCTTGAAACATCATGACCAATTTAATATTCCATGAATGTACCATGTCAAGATAACAATGCATTCCTTGAACAAATTTTCATTTCTAAGCGATTCATCTTATCTCCCATGATTGACTTATGCTCTGCGAGCATGTGAACGGCAGTTCTTGTGGAACTGAAGCGACATCGGGAGATTTACCGGTGTAGCATCTCGGAGATTACATCGTTACGCACGACGATACGAGTATCTATACAGCCAAGAAAGATTATCGTGATACACCATCTACCATTACGTGAGATCTTTCCAGAAACTGACGATATTTACGGTGAACTCTAAGCTGTCGTGTTCGTATAAGTCAGAATACTCGAGGTTCAAAGACACAAAGACATGTGAGTGGTAAGGTGTAAATCTCATACCTGATCTTGGCGGCTTGGGTCTTCTCTCTCCCGCTTCATTGTTTCCACTTACTCATCCTTCAACCCACAACTATAAGCTCACAACCTACAATACCTGTCAGCAACACGTGAATCGATCTGATAATATCACCGAAAGCGACAAAGTACTCGCAAGTCAGACAGCTGCTTGCAAGGATCAGATCAGCAGGGCCTGGACACTTTCCGCTAAGCTTGGCGCCCGTGGCTTGTCGGCATCACCATGCAGCTGCATCTGCACGTCCCCAAGCTGCCAATGACATCTGTCGATCATGAACAAAAAGCTCTAGCCTCAGTTCTGAACATGCTATCCAATAGCATCGAGCGAACGTTTGACTCCGCATCTGCCATCTCGTGCCTGAGCTGACACTAATCCACTCCTCGCTAAGGACGGTGGTGTGCCACCCCAGAACGACAGACCTCGGCTCCTAACTCCATCGATGCTTATTTTCTGCGTCTTCTAAGCTTCTATCACCCTCTTTTTTTCATGTGCTCCCAATTTTGCTTGAGGAGTTGTCAATAGCTCAGCGACTACTATGACCTAAGCTCCCAATGGCCCCCCTGTTAAGGTCGTACTAACACCCCGCATTCTGTCTCCCCCCCACGGGGAAATAGGCATAACTCGAGAGCCTCTTTCGCTCTTCTAGGCAGCTCATTAAGAGAAATTTACTACGTACTTTGTCAAAAGGCGGGGTGAAGAAGCATCTTCACAGAATCAGAATCAGCAACTCGGCCGAAGCGGCGACTAAAACTAAATTCACTGCCGCTGTGCTTTTTTGACAAGCTCCACATGAGACGGCACGGGACCATCAGTGCGCGGCAATGGGGACACACCAACGGCCCGTCTTTTTTTGTCTTAAGACAGAAATGCAGTGTAGCCCTCCCTTGTAAGTTGTATTCGACCTGGGCTTGGCAAATAGTCTTCTTTGTACGAATGAGTGGGCGACCGCTTTTTGCAACGGTGATGAAGATGTTGACCTTTCCCTTTTCAACACTCGAGCCGATGCATTTCGGGGCTCAGCTGGAGATGTAGTACAATGTCCCCCTCCCTGCCAAGTCGTGTAAGTTGCTGGATGGGTGGAGATGGTTTATGCGCTCATGAAGAGACTATCCGGAGAGGAGAAGGGCAAGCCGGTGCTAAGAATTCTGTGAAATGTCGAGATGGCTGGTTGGGACTCGCGATGCCCCCGCTACAAGGTTTGCGGAATGGGTGCTCGTACTCGTACACAACTGAACTATATAAACGATATCGAAATCCCCTCCATTTATCTGCTGTCTCATCAATCAATCCTCTCGCCCTCTCTTCCATCTCCAGTCGTTTGTTGAGTCTTCGACATGAAGCTGTCTAGAGCTCTTCCCGCCCTCCTGGGCTTCTCTTCCTTGGTTGTCGCAGCCCCAACTCCAGAGAAGGTTGAGAACACGATTGAGGCTCGATCCCCAGTCAGCGTACAGATTGCCTCTGGAACCATTGTCGGTAGCTCTATCGCGGGCATCGACACCTTCAATGGAATCCCTTTCGCTGACCCGCCAGTTGGCAACTTGAGGCTGGCTCCTCCCCAGAAGCTGTCCAAAAGCTTGGGGACCTTTACCACTCCTTTGCTTGCTCCCGCTTGTCCTCAAATGTTCGTTTCCACGGGCTCGTCAAACATCATTATCAAGCTTCTGGGGAGCTTCCTGCAGTTTCCGTTCCTGCAGCCCATCACTGGTCAAGAAGATTGTCTCAACATTTCGGTTCAGCGGCCCAAGGGAACCAAGGCGGGCGATAAGCTGCCCGTTGCCTTTTGGATCTTCGGCGGAGGATTCCAGCTTGGCGCTACCGTCACATACGACGGTTCTAGCCTTCTCTCTTCTGCTGTTTCTCAAGGACAGCCTTTCATCTATGTGGCTGTCAACTACCGCGTCGCTGGTTTTGGGTTCATGCCTGGTGCCGAGATTCTCAAGAATGGCAGTGCCAACGTGGGACTCTTGGATCAGCGTATGGGCCTTCAGTGGGTGGCGGACAACATTGCAGCCTTTGGCGGTGATCCAGACAAGGTCACCATTTGGGGAGAGTCTGCTGGCGCCATGTCCGTCTTTGACCAGATGTTGCTGTATGGAGGTAATGCCACATACAACAACAAGCCTCTGTTCCGCGGTGCCATCATGAACTCTGGAACCGCTGCGCCTGCTGAGCGCATCGATTCTCCAAAGGCCCAAGCAGTGTATAACAATGTCGTCAGCAAGGCTGGCTGCAGCGGCTCATCGGATACTTTGGCGTGTCTTCGCAAACTCCCGTACAACACGTTCCTCAATGCTGTCAACTCGGTCCCGAGCATCTTCTCCTACAACTCTCTCGGCCTGTCTTACCTACCTAGGCCAGATGGTGTTGTTCTCCAGGATAGTCCTGACGCCTTGTTAGAGCAAGGAAAATACTACCCAGTACCCATGATTGTGGGTGACCAAGAGGACGAGGGCACCTTGTTTTCCGTCTTCCAGAACAACGTGACCAGCACAAGCAGTCTCGTCGGCTGGCTGTCTGAAAAAATGTTTTCCAACGCCACAAAGAACCAGCTGACGGAACTGGTCAACACATACGACACAGCCATCTCCAGCGGCAGCCCCTTCCGCACGAGCATCTTCAACGATCTCTACCCAGGCTTTAAGCGCACGGCAGCGCTCCTCGGCGATCTCACCTTTACTCTCACCAGGCGAATGGAGCTCACCGTGGCCTCCCAGGTCAACCCCAACGTGCCCAGCTGGTCGTACCTCTCGTCATACGACTACGGCACTCCGTTCTTGGGAACTTTCCACGCCTCGGACATTATTCAGATCTTTTACGGGATATTGCCGAACAATGCGATGAGGAGCACGCGAACGTATATTTTCAACTTCTTGTATAATCTTGATCCGAATGTTGGTGTGAAGGGGTATGCCAATTGGCCGAAGTGGGCTGATAACCAACAGCTTATGTGGTTTGAGACTTCGAATTCGCAGAGTCTGTTGGCTGATGATTTCAGGGATGATAGTTATCAGTGGATCGTTAAGAATAAGGACGTCTTGCGAGTGTAAAAAGGGAAAAAACGGTGATGGAAAATGGCATCTTTGGGAGTTTGGGATGAGTGAAGAATGGGATGATTCATTTGTATATATTGACGGTTAAATGACTCAACGGCCGAAAAAAAAAAAAAGACATTTAAGCTGTCCCTATTTACCTATTTTGAAGTGTTTCTCTCTCTCGTCACATTGGCTTTGGGGGCCGACCTCGTGGTCGTCCTTGTTTAGGTGACTTTTTAGCTTTGGTGATTTTATAGGTAGTTTTAGGAGGCCGACCTCGCGCCGGAGTTGTGTCAGTTTCTTTTGCAGCTTCATTTACAATTTCCTTTGCAGCTTCCTTTGCAGCTTCCTTTGCAGCTTCCTTTTCAGCTTCTTTTGCGACTTCGGAAGCTCGCGCAGCTTCACGAAGACTTCGATTGCGTCGTCGTGTTTCATTTGACGTGTCCCGTCTGATAAACTCCGTAGCTGATTTAAGGAGGAACCATGCAGGCGTGATAGAGTTGAGGTAAGCCAGTTCTTCGTCAATTAAAACGGAGTCTTTCGTGTCTAAATCTGCATGAGGGTCAAGCGAGGTATTACCGCCGTCGAGGGGGTTAGAGTCAACTTTGACCGAATCTTCATCGGGTACGTCCATGTATGCCGTCGTAGCATTGGTTTGCTGAATAACCCCTTTGGCAGGGTTTTTCGTCTTCTGGTGTCGGGTGTGCCACGCTTCTAGGTGCTTCATAACGAACGGGCGATGATGGTGCACCGCGAAATCCTGAATTTGGTCCACTATGCATATCAGATCAAAGGCTCGACCCCATTCTTTAACATCTCCTTCCCATATCGTCTCAACCATCTGTTTTTGGGCTCGTAATTAGTAATCTTGATCAAGGCGACAATGAGTTCAGGGCTTGAGCTTCAGACTGTTCGATAGGACCACTTACGCAGTCGTTCCGCATATTCCAGGACACGAAGACTTGCCAATACGAACCGCAGGATGTAAAAGCAAAGAGCTGATACTTGGAGCTCTCTTCCGTCTGGTACTCGGCAACGTTGTCAGGATTTCGAACCAAGTCATCTAACATAGCAAGGTATGTCCGGCAAGCATGATGAATTTGATCCTCAGCCTGGGTGGAATTTATTGCTCTTTTCTTGGCTTCATAAACTGCAAAAGGAAACAAGAGCTCAGTTTTGCCCCAGACACCATCCACAATGAGGCCACACTGAGGATCGTGCATCATGGATTGCAAGTCGCCATCCAGAAGCCGCTTATCAGGCTGCATAGTCGTATGATCCTCTTTGCAGTCTGGTGTATCGCAAATGTATCCACGTTTGAGAAAAAAATCATCATAGCTTCTTAAACCAAATGTCGCATCTGGAATTCTTTTTTTAACAGTCTTTTTCCCAGCCTTGTCAACGTCCAAAAACTCGTACGGTCTTTTATCTCTAGAGTAAGCTTCAAGTTAGTATGCGGCGGGTTCAGTATTAGCCAGGACAAGTTGAGATCACTAACATTCGGAACCTTTCGTCATCATACAGCAAGCCAAACGCATCGTTCCAGGCGGACACTTCCCAACTAAACTCAGAGGACGAGTAATAATGATTGGAGATTGCTCGCTTTTTCAATTTAGACGCCCTTTTGTCAAGCTCTTCTTGTTTTTCCTTGCTTAAGGTCTCTCGATATTGTGGTATATTGAGATTGGGGCAGAATTCGGCCCAAAGATTTGGCATTCCTTTGTTTCCCAAGAAGAGGTTTCTCATGGAGAGGGAGCCCATAGATATGATGCTACTCGAGAACGGTTCGGGCACCAATGGCATGGCGCGCTCTCTTGGCATTTCCCTGCAAGATTGTAAGATTCTAGCTTTGGGGGATTACCATAGGTAGACTTACATATTTTAAGTCAAATAAGCACTAGAATCCTAGATTTTATTCCAAAAAATACTTAAGTCTCTAAGCATTAAAGCCACGACCTTTGCAGGTTACTAATAAATTTCTCTTCTTTCTTTCCCAAGCCGTCTAGAAAGAGAATGAAGAAGATTTATATAGCGACCGCATAAGTAGCTAGAACTGTATATATATGTGACAGCCTATGCATCTTGTTTTTATTCTAAGTGAGCAAAAGTGTTGGGTCTCTATAGCGGCCTCGTACTGCTCTTCTAAGCGCCAAGGTGGATTGGCAAGGCGGTTTTTGTATTGAAGTCTGTTTCAGATAATTCCAAGCCTTTGCATAGCGGGGTCCTTTATGGAGTACATTGACAGGCACCGTCCTAACAAAATCTTTATTGTCAGAGGATGCGACTTTCTTTGTCGTCTTACTTACGTTACTTTTGGTGTTTTAGCGTTGCTACATATTTGAGATATACTAACCTGCGCTCCAAGCTGACCTAGGTATATTAGATCCGTGCTCTGAATTACGTGGGTCGCAACATAGGAGACTCTCGGATAGAAAGAGTTAGAAAGGTACAAATATTTCTAGGAAAACAGCTGCTATTTAGGCCTCATAAGCGGTCCCATCATGCAGATGTTGACAGTCTCTGCCTCATTTTGGTGATTGAGGCTCAGCTCAGTTGGGGCTGAGCACTTGTGCATAGGGAGCCTTGTCCATTCTCAGTTTCGCAATGCCATGTCATTGTAAACCAATCATTGTCCACAGAAAAGCCCATTAGCCTTTATAGCAGATATTACTACTAAGTGGCATGATTGCAATGATGGGCTGTTACTCGCTGAGTTATTGGCTGCATATGCAGCCAACTATAACGTTATAACAGAGCGCTTGGTTTGCAGTACCATTTTTGCTTCGCAACAAAGAAAGAGATGGCTGTTAAAACGAGTAAATGTCTGCTGCTGAAGATGACCTTTAGAGAAAAAAAACTTTTTTATAAGCCCATCCTCGTTGCGAAACTCGTAGTTGAAATACGAAAAACCGATCAAACCCTTCTTGACTAAAAATACGTTTGAAGAGAACGTAAACTATGCGCCAGACTGCGCCGGAAAGACAGCTTCAACGCATTTGACCTGTTTGTGAGATAAAGAAAAGCACCGAAATAAAAGCCCAAAAACACTGGCTATCCCCAATTCAACGCCGTACCTAGGCATTCTGCGTTTCGACTCCCTCTCCGTTGAAATCATTAGCAAAACGAACGCGTTTGGTGCCTCGCGCAACCATGTTACCCATCTGCGTCTGGAAGGCGGAAGTCAAAGATGCCTCCACGTTGTTGAAGTGATTCGAGTTGAAGAACTCGGCGGCTTGCTTGTCGAGGCACTCGTCTTGCCGTCGTAGAACGAACGAACGAAGATGTATTGAGCCCATGAGGGCTTCGCTTTAAACGCACGCGTAGTCTTGTGGTTGGACAGTGCGTTCATGGCGGATTTACATCAAGACCAGACGCTATCATCCATGGGCAAAATACGAAGAACATTGGGCGGGAGTAAGGGCAAATCTCCTAGGAAAGGCTCTGTCGCAAGTACCTCCGGCGGCAAGATTGATGCCTCACCTCCAAATAGCAACGGGAAACCATCGAACGCAGAGCCTGAAGTAGCGAAGGTTCCCATCACCCCTCCGAGGGTATCTGGAACAGCGCTTACGATGCACTGAAAGCCGATGAACCGAAGCTGGTGCAAGCGTATGAGAAGATATTGTCTCTAAAACTGAATCAGAGTGCTGTCTCTCCAAAGGCTGCCAGCGTGAAGAATATCGTTCTTCACAGACTCCATGATGAAAGAAGGCCAATAATGATGGTAGCGAATGATAGAAGATACTGCCTCTAGCGATGACGCATACTAAATATTAGTCGAGCATAGTTATAGTAGTAAATACTCAAAGTATATAGCTATAGTACCAGATACTGGGTGTATATAGCGTCAATAGTAGGAGAATATAGTTATAAGGCTTCCCTTTATACCCAGTTCCAATGCTCCAACTTCACAAGTGTTCCATCAGCCAAATACAACCCGCAGAACCAACTACTAATATAGTCTTTATAAATGTTTTAGACGGCACAGAGCTAATGTAGGGTACATCCTACGTTAACTACACTAACGCCTAATATATCGTTAAGCCTATTTCCCGTTGGGCTGCGTCAGCTCCCCTATTCTCGGCTAAGTCATACATAACTAACCCTTTCGACCAACCTGGTGAAGGCGGGCAAGCGGATGACAGACAAGACGAGACCGCAAATAAATAAGTACATACATTTAGTAATATAAGCACCTTATTAACTCATCGAATACTGCTTTTATAGAGAAACGCCTATTCAGCCAGCACCCGATCTATTTTACCTACATAAATATAATAGCAGTTACTATATAAATATAAATATAGTAGCAATTAGTAGATAAATATAGATATAGTAGTAGTTATAAAGAAATATAAATATAGTAGTAGTTATTTACAAAATGTAGATATAGCAGCTACTCCCTTTATAGGCCTGTGATTTAGCTCGTGGGTGTTCGAAATCTTCTCGGTCTCGATTTTTCTATCCTCCACTTGGCGGGGTATTGCGACCAGAGAACGAAGTTATCGCAAACTACGCATGGGGTCGTATCTTAGTGATCACCGGCTACAAACAACAAAAATGCCTTCTTGAGCAAAAGATTGCAGAGCTTCCTGAGGCCAAAGTCCCTCGCGGACTTGTGTCGGTGCGAACAATAGATGACTCCCCCAGCCATCAGGCGGAGTCCGTCATTTGTAATCTTGTCCCAAACTCCGGGCCCGGTTTCCTCATTGAGCACCAGCGTCTTGCTGTCATGACTACTCGTGCTCAGGAACTGACAATCCTCGTGGGTCAACAGGACATTCTGCACGCGAAAGGATCTACGGCCTTGTCAAGTTTGAAAGACTACCTCAAAAACCGCAATGCTATCATTAAGGTTGCAGGATGGAATATTCTGTGCAATATGTAGAACGACAGTGAGTGCGTGAAGTTAAAGCATTAAAATTAGATGTAAAGGAAAGCCGTATAACTATATTTCCCTATTATTTACTACTATAGCTATGTCTATTTAGTATCTACTACTATAGCTATGTCTATTTAGTATTTAATACTATAGCTATATATCTAGTATCTAATACTATAGCTATATTTATGTAGTATCTAATACTATAGCTATATTAGTTTCTGCCCGGACATCAAGGTAACCGTTAGGTGAAGGTAGTTTGCGGAATTTGCCAAGTCGAACACGCCGGACAGCGATGCCTCGAGATTGCAATCGCACGCGGGTGCCAGCCTTGAAACTTTCCGCAACATTCCCCCATTGGACGACGTAAGCCGTGCAGCCTTCTCGTCGATCAAGCTCGGCAAAGTCGCCGACTCTGTCAAGAAGTTGAAGCTTCAACGAAAGCAGCAACGCGAAGACGCCAACGCCAACGCATACGCACAGCAAATGCGACAGACTACTACGGACTACGCGGATTACATCAGGGCCCGAGGATCTGCTCAGCCTGTGTCGGAAACTATCGCAGGTCCATCGACGAAGCCAGATCGTCCACCTCGCGAGATGCAATTGACCATTCAGCCAGCGGCGCAGGAGTCTGTCGCAAATCCTCAGTCTCATTTTATTCTGTCGCACCTCTCATTTAAGCCAATCACCTTTAATACAGAGCTGTATCAAACTTTGTAATAAATATTAATAAGAGATAGCATTGCTGCAATCATAGGCTGCAACGAAGGAGTAACAAAATAGTCAGAGACAGACTATAAGTCTCACTTTATCGCCATATTTTCCACTGTCTCTTAGTTCCGCCAACAATCTTGCTTAGCGCTGCTCGCCAGACTTTGCATCATATCACGAGAGTATGTTTTCTCTGAAGCCACACCCTCTTATTCTCCGTTACTAATGTTCTGGGTGTTCATCAAGGCTTCTTTTCTTTTAGTCGTTATAGCCTCCCTTTCTTATCTGCCTCCTGGGACCATCTTGTCACTTCTCTTTTCCCTCGTCTCGCTTGTCATTTGATGTTCTGCCGAGTCCTTCACTTGTACTGCTTTCGGTCCCCGTGTCTCAGCCATGAGAGGCCGAGAAAGCTTAAAATCCGAGTTGCGATACCCTTTCTGCCACTATTTTCTGAAGTTTTGTTTTCTCGAATGCGAGCTTCTGGACTTGTGCTTTCTTGAGTATGGGCCTCTGCTGCTGCGCTTTCTTCGGGGTGGGCTGCTAGAACTACGCTCCCTTGAATGAAGCCAGGCGGTATGTCCAAGAAAGCTTAAAATCCGAGTTGCGATGCCTCTTTTGCCACTATTTTTTGATGCTTTGTTTTCTTGGATTGAAGCTTCTGGGGCTGCGCTTTCTTGAGTGTGTGCCTCTAGAGCTGCGCTTTCTTCGGGGTGGGCTGCTAGAACTACGCTCCCTTGAATGAAGCCGGGCGGTATGCTTAATTCCGGTGGTGGCGGTCCCGTATTCCCTCTGTGGTAGGACAAGAAATTCACTTGAACATTCGCCACAGGAGACGATAAATGGTCGGCCCCTTGAGTTTTGACTTCCGAAACTGCACTCTCTTGAACAGGACTATGCGGTCGGATGTTTAACCCTGGTGGCGGCGGCCCACTCAAAGCTACCAACCGGTACTCTAAATCTGATTCAACCTCTCCGAGTTAACTGGTAACAGGTGGAGGAAGGTTATCAGCAAGTGCCGGTATTTCGCGAGGCAAAGACATTTAAAAAGGATAAGCTAAAGTAGCCGGTAGCGTGGGTAAAGATTCTGATGTCTTTCTTAGTAAAGAATGGCTAAAAAGCACGGCAGATGGGGTACGCGATCTTATTTAATCCCCTTGACTGATTGTATTTTGTTACTGCAGCAGGCAGCTGCGTGCCTTAGCCTCATTTTGTTCTGCCACGCCTCTCATGTAAGCCAATCATCTCAAATACAGACTTGTATCGAGCTTTGTAACAAATATTAATAAAAGATAGCATTACTGCAATCATAGGCTATTATTTGTTGAAGCGATGGCTGCATATGCAGTCAGTTGTACCGATAACACGCCATGACTCGCTGTCTTTTGTCCTCACAGATCATCCGCTGTTTGCCACGTTTCGCATCGAATTACAGCAATATATCATTTCCGAACTATTTCTCTTATTCTTGTTATTTGTTTTCCTCTGCTTTCTCATCTATTGTGATTACATACTTGCTGCTTCTTGTTGCCTCATCCGGCTTTCCATTGTCACTCTTGCCCCTTTGAAGCTCCGCCGACTCCTCCACTTTGGCCGCGTTCATTTCTAGAGGCTCAGGTTCAGACGTGGGAATTAACCACCTCTTGATATCCGTGTCAACGCGCCTTTCGCCGCCACTTTCTGAAGCTGCGCCTCCAGCAATGCGGCCAGATCGCGGGCTTGACATTGGTGGCGGTGGCCCCCTCTTTGCTCTTGTCCGGGCGGCCTCGTTTATTTTAACCTCCGCTGAGCATTTTTCGATCCATTCATCAAAATGAGACATTTGTAGAACCCAAATAGTTGTCGGCGCTGTTGACTGATTGTGGAGGCAAAGATTTCCCGGCCTTGCGGATCGCAAGAAGTCAGAGAGGCACATTGGCTGGCGCAACAGCTCCCATTTTAAGGGTCCTTCACCGGTCACGGTTTTATTGGCCATCTCTGCCTCATTTTGCTGCTTGTGGCTGAGCCCCTGCCAGAGGAGAAAGCCTTGTCTGAATTTATTCTCCGCCGCATGAACGTAAGCCAATCACTTTAACCAGATGGTAACATCGGGAGGCGCATTTTACATAGCCTGATCACAATAATAAGCTGTTATTCGCCGAATTATCAGCTGTGTATGCAACCAGCCGTACACGTCATATGGCTCTGTTAAAGAGGCAAACAGAAGTGAAGAAGACGTCGTACGTAACAAAATGCACGACGGAACTGCAAGACGGATAAGCTGGTCAAGTCTTGAGTGTTGCTCTTTTGTTCGTCTCACTTTTCTTTCCAATATCGTCGCCAACAAACTCCACGACCCATAGCTATCGGAAAGGTAGACAAGCCTGCAATATGACAGAATACTCGCAACCTCCACGTTCGTCAACTGCTAGGAGTAATATCGCAAGGGAATTTACCGCACCGGTTGGGGATGGGGCTCAGACCAGACGCTCGCTGGAGCAGACCGTGCCGTGGAAATATGTCGGTTACCGCGGGTACTCGAGATTTATTTCCTCTGATGATGGTTTCTTTATCCTTCGTCGTTTCTCAGTGCTGAATGTTCGGGTTTCTTTGGCCCTTCAAAACCAGCTAGTGATGCTTGAGCGACAGCTGAACGAACTAGACAATAAATATGAAGGTGAAGCCCAAATTCACAACGGACGATTTGAGGGAGATGAGAAAGATCGTGAAGAGCTCATATCTTGTATTGCGGAGAAACTAGGGAAGTATAGTAGGTTAATAAAGCATAAAGAAAGAGAAATATGATTGCCTGGAAGTATTCTTTTCTTATTAACTATTAATTTTGCAGATGAACTTGTCCTACAGCAATCCGCTCTACGAAGTTATAAACCAGCTCCATCACAAAATATCAAGAATATTTTCCGTTGGCATGCTAATCATGGCAATCGTGCCATTTGCGAAAATGAGCAGCAATATTTGCACTATGGTGCTATGCATGGGCATCCAAATGGCTATGAGAATGCTTGCCCTGAGACAGAGGCCACCCGGAAGACGCGAACTGAAGACGACCTCATATGTGTGGTTCAAAAAGAAAAGCCGCCACTACGCCGCGTTATTGACAGGTCGCGTATTTTTCGATCGATGAGCCTTTGGGAAAAGAAACGAGAGAATGTGTCTGCACATGATATGAAAAATGTCCTCTACGTCTCCGAACAGCGATTGGATCTCTTTGTTTCTCTTATCACCACGATGATTGGTCTTGCTATGCTCGTGACACCCCTCTGGATCCTTCAGTCAACAACAAATCTCCAATCGAAGCTCATAGTCATTACTGTCTTTATCGTCGTGTTTCTGCTTGTCCTATCTTTTGGAATGGTAGCGAGACCTTTTGAAGCATTGGGAGCGACGGCAGCGTAAGTTGAACTATTTAACATCTATTAGAATGAACTGCTAACGGTTTAGGTATGCTGCTATCCTTATGGTGTTTATGTAATTGGGAATCAACTAATCAATCGTTATTTAAAGAAGTAATAGCGCTTATAATAGAGAAATCGGATGTCCAACGTCCCGTTTCGTGGGCTATATAAGGTAACATATAATAGTCGGAGATTTACCTTACAAGCTTGGTACGAATCTCATAGACTGATACGTCTCCTAGACTTAATGGACAGGTATGTGAGGCTTATTAGGACACAGTTTATGACATAGATTTAGGGGAGACGAAAGGAACCTCATAAGCACTGGGACCAGAGCTTGCCTCAAATATCTACTTAGTTGAGCAGTCGTTAAATGTCCGGTATAGAGACTTTTAAAGCGATATCTAGGTTTATGTCACTTCTTAATGGTCACCATTTATTTACTACAGGTACAGATAGTAAATTAGTACCCGCTTCCTCTAGTATCTACTACCACAGCGATATTTCTCTAGTATCCGCTACTACAGATATATATCTCTAGCAACCTCTACTATGGATATGTTTCTCCAATATTTACTACTATAGCTATATTTCTTTAATACTCTTTAATATTACTATATTCGTCTGGTCTTCTGTATCACATGCGATACGGGATGCTGGATAGCAAAATTGGGTGCTGAATAGGTATTCACATTTTATATTCGGCTTCACACGCAAATGAATCGCCTTCGACATTTGCTTATATCTGGATATATAGTTTCATATTCATGTTTACATTCAACTCCTATCATATGTCCTCCAGGCACATACTTAATACATCCCTTATACTCATTAACACTTGGGGAGATTTTCTGCAGCAAAGTCACAGCTTGTCAGTCTCAAAACTGGAAATGATCAGGGAGGAGATGGCATTACTGGAATTGCACTGGTCTGAAGTATAAAATCCATTGATGTAGCACTTCAATTCCCAGTTATAGTCCCAGGAACTAATCATCGTTAATATCAGCCCTTTCTCTCGCTGCCAGTTAGCGGTGGGGCAAACGTACCAAACTCCTTCGTAGCAGTCTCCCGACTTATAGCAGGAAAAGTCCCAAGCATCTCCGTCACCAATCGTGGTGACTGATTTGGCGCTAAATTTCGGGCTGCTTCTGCAGTGCACCGGGCCGTCGTTGTTGAAGACATTGCACATCTCCGCGCTGGCGAGAAGAGGAAGGGCCACGCAGAGGATTGTAGTAGCGGTCTTCATGTTGGTAAATGGTCAAGGATTTATATATCGATTGCTTTAAGAGTTGTAGAATATCTCAAGATACATGGGAGATAGACTCTTTATATATCTTTCCAGACGGCGGGTCATCGCCCGGTTTCGAAAGCGCATCAGCCAACCAATTCAGCAAATACTCCGTTTTCAAGTTCTGCTAATCTATTAATACATATTGGATGGTCATATTCGCTTGCCTAAGAAGAAATTGAGCTGAAAAAAAGGTCATACTAGCTGCTTTCAAACCACCATGGCGATCGCTGTGAGTCTTTCGCGTCTGCTAAGAAAGTGGAGAGTCTAGGGAGCGATCCGCTACTACTTCCTATTATAGAAGCTGTTGTCCGGATAAGCTTAAAGTGTAGAATAAGACGGGGAAACACAGGCTCCGAAGGACATAAGCTTCTACCTCTACACTGCGGGTTTTCGGTCGCACGACAGCGAATTTTCCTTTTGTGCGTCGTCATTGGTACGGGTCGTCGCACAGGATCAATCGAAGGACGGGGCAAGGAGGGGGACCGATGGCCATAGCAAGGCTATTCTTAGATATTTGGGGATCGCGGATCATAGATGGGTAGCACGCCCCGCTATGAAGCCCAGCAATAAACAGACTACGATGTATCTCGTGCACTGAGTTTTCCATTGTGTCCTGAGGATTCTCGTAGGCTCAACAAATCTCTCAAGAGCAATGCCTGAGGAGCACCATCATGGCGATTGTCTCACATTACTGGCATTCTATATTATCCTCTATCTATGGGCTAGAGACTGATATTAAGCCATGTCTCTCACTTCGCATATACTCTGCAGAGGTAACACGAATTACATCAGTTGCATGCTGCAGTATAACAATGTCCAACGTAATAATATGTGAGACATACATGGACTCCGCTGTTCTCTCCCGTGTGATGCGACATCATAGCGTACCTGAATTATACAAGTAGTACCAACGAGAGGCAAGCTCATACTTCTCTGCGCAAAAACAATTACACCAAAACAGCCACCAAACAACGAGACAAATGGTTTAGGATTGGGCATTAATGGTGTTTCTCAAAATTAAACAGCTTACATAATTTATCCGGGCCAGCCGTGCTGGAGTACGCACACAACAATAAACTTGAGTGAATCCTACCTAGGCCATGTTCCTTTGTAAGTCCTTGTTTCGAGATGTTCTAGACTCTGGCATAAAATAGTGCAGGGAAATATTTCACCATAGCTATTAACTTTTCGTGCATCCGATCGGATGTCCCCGATCAATCTTATATACGTTGATGCTGCTTACTGTGCTGTACCTTGACTTGCAGGAATGACATGCATGCAGGTGATAGAGGCAATGCAATATCACTGCATGACTTCCCATTCATCTAGACTCGATACCATGACCACATACATTTAATGATAGGCAGACAGAGACATGAGACTAACGCGACTATATATATCCGCCCAATTACTTCAAACTCCCTGCATCGATCGATAGTTAACCGCCTAGAGATGTGATATCCTGTGAGACCACATAAGCATATAAAACACTACCTCTACACGGTCCAATTATACAAAGCCACGAATGAAACTATATGAAACGGTTTAGTTGCATTACTCGTAAATTCTTTACGTTAAGTTAATAACAATCTCTTCCGCCTGTGACTACATGATTGCGTAATGAAAGAGGGAAAAGTAAGTGTGGCTTTTTGGGGTATAAAGCCTCTGCATTCCTCTCGATAGCCTCATTGTATGGAAAGATGCAACACGGTATCTAGCACCAGAAAATAATTTATTCTACTATTTTCCTTCCTCATCTCATTCAAAAAACCACGTCGCTGAATACCTCCATTAAGATGGACCCCAATAATCACGACTTTGAGTTCGCCCAACGCGGGCTGGTAGCACCTTTACAGGATCCAATAATCCATTCAGACAACGAGGATATAGTTGTCTGGAATCCACAAGCTTATGATTTCCTTGAGAGCAATTGTCCCGAAACTGCCAATCCCTCTCTATGGAGACAGGGCCAGCTCTGTAGCACCACGCCTGGTCTCTATCATGTTGTTGATGGTGTCTATCAAGTACGCGGGCTTGACTTGGCCAACATGAGTATTGTACAAATCCCGGATACAAATAAAGTCGTCATTATCGACTGCTTGACGTCTGTTGAAACCGCGCGCAAAGCACTTGAGCTATACCAGGAGTACCATGAAACTCAACATGGCCACAAACCGGAAATTATCGCTCTTTTCTATACCCATTGCCACGCTGACCATTTTGGTGGCGCACAGGCCGTCATAGAACTTGCCAATAACCCAGATCTTCGAGTCATTGGTCCAGACGGCTTTCTCGAACACGCAGTGAGCGAGAACGTGTACGCATGGTCAGCAATGTCCCGTCGGGCCATTTACATGTATGGAGAAGCGTTGGAGAAATCGCCCACAGGCCAGATTGGCTGCGGCCTTGGACAGGCTTTGTCCGTGGGAGCAAGCAGCTTAGTTGCACCAAACCAGATTATTACAAAAGATGGTGCGCTCAGGCCAGGCATTCACGGCTTGGAGATTGTCTGCCAACTGACGCCGGGTACGGAAGCTCCAGCAGAAGTAAACTTCTTCTTTCCGGGTTACTCTGCTCTCTGCATGGCTGAAAACGCAAACCATACGCTACACAATATCCAGACACTGCGAGGAGCGCCAGTTCGTGATGCTCGACTTTGGTCACGGTACCTTGATGAATCTATCACTCTATTTGGACACAAGACCGATGTGGTATTCGCCACCCACCATTGGCCCACCTGGAAGCAAGGTGACGAAGATTTAGTTAACATCTTCCTATCAGAACAGCGTGACTACTATGCCTATCTTCATAATGAAACGCTTCGAATGATGAATAATGGCAGTACTCCCGTGGAAATTGCAGAGGACATTCAAACACCTCCAAACTTAGCCTCGCGGACAAATCTACGCGGCTACTATGGTTCTGTAAGCCACAACGTCAAAGGAATCTACGACAAGTATATGGGCTTCTTTGATGGCAACCCGGCAAATCTATGGAAACTTCCTCCTGTTGAAGAGGCAACCGAATACGTTCAGTCCATGGGAGGAAGTGAGAAAGTTTTGCAGCTGGCCCGAGATTATCAGGCCCGCACAAATTTGCGTTTCGCGGCAACTCTTTTGAACCATCTTATTTTCTCACAGTCTCCCAATCAAGACGAGGCAAAATCGGTGCTAGCTGAGGTCTATCAACAGTTGGGATATGGGGCAGAAAACGGCACCTGGCGCAATTTTTATCTTGTTGGAGCTTACGAGTTGAGAAACGGATCTCAGCCAGTGCCCAATACAATGGATTCTCAGTCTCTGATGGCTCTTAGCCTAGATCAACTGTTTGACACGCTTGCCATACGTCTGTATGGGCCAGATGCGGGTAAGCATGCTGGTTTCACCATCGATTTCATGGTGCAAGACATGCCGAAACGATTGGAGGCGACTAAGGTCGGGTGGCATATAAGGCTAAGCAACGGTGCCCTGACTGGACACGCAGTCCCATATGCATCCCCTTCAGAGCCCCGAGATAAGAATGTCGGACTCACGGTATGGACCGATCACAAGACTCTCGTGGAGATAGTTGGGAGCGCGGCGGCCGGTGAACCCACCAGGCTCGACCAATATGACCTTATTACCGTGGGAGACACCGAGAACTGGGATGTCATTACGTCTTTCGTTCAAGTTCCTGACTCCGCATTTAACATCGTCACACCCTAATTATACAATTTATCCTTACTGCGAAACTGTGAAGCATAACTGCCACAATGGAGTACTGTTAAGCTGGAATTAGTTTAGGTGCCTGAAGTGGGAAGGAAACTCTCCAATTCAAAATACACATGGCATATTGAAGTGCTGCTCATCATATGCCGCCAGTCAATTCGGCTCTAAGAATGTACGCCGCATGCTTTTCGCTCTTAGTTACTCTCTTACCATCGCTATCACAGATTGCACAGCCTCATAACTTGTTTTATATATATATATAATATGAGCCCAATCCTCTGGCATTGTACTAAGTCCTCGATCCATTTTGCGGTAAAATTCCTTGAGCACCGCTTGATATTTATATACAAAGCTAATAGCATAGCTTTGTTTGGTTCACTCTGAGTTTGAGGCGCGAATGTGATTCCAGCTTCACTTCACATGTAGCCAAATACCTCCCATCCATATCACATCATGGAACGGCCCTTGTGACCTTAGATCATAGAGACCAAACCTCTGTTGGCACTGAAGTAATTCTCTTACCTTCCATACTAGGAGCCCATGGCAACTACTAAGGCCTCCATGTTGGACAACGATCATCTTCAGTTCTCTTATGGTGCGATGACTTCGGTCAAACAGCAGTAAGGCACAGAGGGAGATGATTCGAGGATTTCCAGTATCTGCTACTTTAGCTATACTCTTCTAGCATCTGCTATTATAGCTATATTCCTATAGGATATGCGGCGTTCGTCCTGTGAATTCCTTGATACTCTCAAACAGGTACTCTGCCGTCGTGACAAAGGTTAGATCTCTTCGGGCGTCAACTCTAAAAGACGCGCTGGCAGAAGCCTCTGGAGTCTCAGTGTCGTTCTTCGCTACAGAAGAGTCGTTGTGCCATGAAGTCTCCGATATGGCAATACCGCCGGTTACCATGCCAACAAATCGACCACTATGATCCCAAATGGCGGTCCCTGAATCTCCCTCGGCACTGAAACAAGTGTAGTTGCGCTCACAAAAAACAATCCACTCCCATACCACTAACTTTCCACCCGTGGAATCCCGTCGAACTGCCAGTATTTCGTTTGTCATACCAAACTTTAGACCTGATGTCTTTCCTCTCATTCCCACTGGCAATCTTGCGGCCTGCCCATCTGTCGGCGTCGGGACAATTCCAGTAATGTGAAGGAATCCATCATCGCTTATGTGATCTGATAACTTTGAGGATTCTCTGAAAAGAGATTGCCGTCGTACCTTTGCATCTTTCACAAAAACTTGACCATCACGTCTTTCCGCTTCTTCATGGCCAATGTACACCTTGTTAGTACGCCGAGCAGCGGAATCATTGGCTGTACCTAGCCTGACCAATGACCAATCTAGAAGGAGTCCTCGCGACGATTTCGCATATGAGGGTGCATAAGCCACATGCCCAATGATTCGGGATTCATGCAGCATTGGCAGTATGAGGCCAGCGGCTTCGGTGACTTGGGTCAAAAGACTGTCTAATTTCGGCAGACGCTCTCGCTCTTCAGAAGTCGGGCAACGAGATTTCTTGGCCTCTGCGGTCTCCTCCGTTGTGCTGTACCACGTATCCCATTCGTATATCTTCTTTGCCAGATCTTGGTACATCTTTCTGCAGTTATCTTCCAGGGCAACTCCGTCGTCAACTAAACTCGCTGCTGTCCCTGGGGTTAACTGTTGAATCAACGTAGTCTTGTCGCCCGAGATGTCAACGTTAATATCGGCCGACGTATTAGAGGGCCCCTCAAGAACGACGTGTCGACATGTTAAACCGTAGTGTGCATCCTCGTCTCCTAATCGTAGATGAAGACCCATGGTGCCCGATTTGTCAGACTTTATGTTATGGATTTCATATCCGATGTGAGACGAGAAGGGAAGGACATTCTCAACGACTTCCTGGAGGAGCAATTGATTGGCCTTTTCTCCCACCATGGATGGCGTGGAGGCGGCTGCTTTGCAGGCGGTGTCTATGAAGGCGTCTAATTCTTTGTTGGCAAATGGTACTTGAGTGACTTGCTGGATTTCGACCTCGACATCGGTTATTCCCATCGAACGAATGGCGTTGCGGCAAGAGAGTGCAACCTCAATGGATGTTTCCCATGGCTCTGAATCGGCGAGAGTCTCAATGACGAATACTACAGGTCTTCCCATGACCATCTCGTCATTTATGCGAATGGGATAGAAGCGATGCCATGGGTAATCTCCCAAGGCAGATATGATGTCCACAGCAAAGGCTTGACTGTATTTCGTTATTATGTCGTGACAAGTGAGTGGCTCTCTTTGTTTATAATGTTTGTCGAACTGATACGTATCGCGAGTGCTATTGGGGACGAAGGGAGTGGCGCTTGTCCGGGCGATCAGCCTAGGTTGATTGCGCAATCCGTCATAGTACTCGGCTTTCTCTTGCTCCCCTGGAGGATAAGGGTGTGTCGGTGTAGGTGGCATTGTGATTGTATGGCACTGTGCTTTGAGGGGGGAACAGATGCATGCGTCTATCTCGCTCTTTATATAGGCAAAGAATACTGAACGTCTTGGAACGAAACAACTTCTAGGTTTTCAAATAAAGGTTAAAAATGCCTTCCTCATTGAGAATTCGGAATTGCATGACGAGAAGTTATTAATGGCAAAAGTATCGTTAGTGGAAGTCGGCGCCCGAATTAGCTATTCGATACTTTTTTCTACCACCGATACTTTCTTCTAATATCGATAGTTTCTCCTACTATCGACACTTCCTGCTATCACTAATACTTCCTGCTACCATCGATACTTCTTGATACTATCGATACTTCCTGCTACCATCACTACCGGATACTTACTTCCGCTATGGCTACCTACTCAGTACCTGTTTTTTCAGCTATCACTACTTTCTCACCGTACCTATTTCTACGAAAATTTTGACACGGAGTGCTGTGCAGCCACTTGGTGTGCTGGTTAGCAATCCCCTTTGGTACCGTGCAGACACTATAACAATATGCCACTACGAGGTGTCTATAAGTCATCACTGCATCCTTTTGGGTGCATTTATGAGTCATCTGAGTAGCTCTGATCAGCCAAAATTGTTACACCACTTAGACAGTCAATCACCCACTAAAGTTACAAAAGTTTATGCCTACGTAGCTTAAGGAAAGGGCGCCGGCCGTGTGCCCCCCTTCTTTCTCTACCTGACGGCTCTGCGATATTGTTAACCGCTTTGGTGTATACGTCTATGTCCGTGACCAGCCTGTCTTTCTTGAGGGCGGCCGCCGCCTCCTGCCTCTGCGCCTTGTTGTCCTTGGTCGCGTCTGCCGACGTCTTCACATCTGCGAAGGCATGCGACGGTGGTTTGGCGTGGTCTGGTGATTGCTGCATGAAGCTCGAAGACGTCTTAGCCGGGGTCGAGGCCTTGGAGGAGCTTCGGTTGAACATGTCCTCTACGCCCAGGATGCTGGGGGATGTGCCAAGGGCATTCAAAGACGGTTTGATTGGGGTAACAACCTTCGGTTCCTGCTCGATTTGCAATCCTTTGTCCAGGTATGTCATGTTCGTCCGCAGCGGTGCCTGAACAAACTCGAGGTGCAATCGGAATTAATGGTGCGATGGAAATGCAGCGACCAGACGGAGCAGGTGACCTGTATTATGATTTCCATACGCCCCACGTAAGAAACTTAACTTTGACTTTGCCATGTCAAAGGAGAAAAGACACAGTGCATATTTCTGAATAGCTATTTCCATGACAACATGTTCGCTAGGCAAAGCGGCCTAGTGTCACCTTCGTCATAAAACGGTTCAACGGTGTAATGTTGATATCCATTGCCAAACATTGAATACGGATCCCAATGTAGCGTCATTAGAAGGCTATATATACAGTCCAGCAAGTCTTCCGCATCCAACTGCATACACAATGGCCAAAGCCATGGCTGCAACGCCCAATCCACAAATCAAAGCACATGTTATTTATAATCGCATGCCCGCCCGTCCCGCTTGAATTCCATCATATCTTCTATCTCTTCCTTTCTTCCTCCCTCTCTACCCTCGTCTCCCAAAACATGCCTTTTGACTAACGCAGCTCTAAGCTGCATGCCCCGAATCTCCTCTAGAAATGAAGTGCGTAGAATCATATGTAAAAATAATCATCTATTCCTATATCATCAATCCTAATGTCGTAAACTTCTGTCAAACTGCCAGTGGTCAGCAGTTTGATGATGTACCTATGTATCATTGCCTATTTCGGACATTACCCATTACGGCAACTATGGCTCCACATTAATGGCTCACCGCCAAAATTCTGCCACCGGCGCCCAACATCACGACATCAATCACTATTGCGGTGCATCTAGATGAAAATGCATCATATGGCCAGAAAACCAAGTCTATTTGATAACGCAAGAAGATTGACTATTATACAACCCTTAGCGGGGATGCCAGTGGTCTGCCGACTCTATACTCTACTCTAGGCAATCAAGAGATGTATACCAGCGCCTGTTTCTAGGGCCGCCTCATCAACCCGGCCAAACAATCGAACAAGAAACCAAATCTCTCAAAGGTCCCGGTCGAAATTGAGACTGTTCCCTTCTATATGTAATAGGGAAACTCTCAGCAATCCAAGGAAAGCCCAGCCCTTGGGCAGTACCGTATATAGCTACCCCCTCTCCGTAATCTCGATCCATTTTCTCCCCCGTCTCGAAACTCCATTTTTATATCATCAGAACGTAAAGAATTCGTTTATTTGGCAATCTCGACACCTCCAACAGCTCCCAGACTTTTCTTGAGGTCACCTGGTTGGACGTGTTAAAAAAAATTCGACGAATATCGCGAAGTTTTGGTGTTTAGTAGCCACTTACCATAGATGGCGAATTGACCGGCGGTCAGGGTGCCGACCATGAAGAGACGGGCACCAATACCAGTGTAGGAGCCACGGAGACCGAGCTCACGGCCAATCTTGATCAGACGGGTGGTGGTGCCCTCACCGGGGAGACCCTTGGTCTTGTTGATCTTGGAAAGCATGGTATCGGCGGGCTGAGAAACAAAGGCAGCGGCGAAACCGGCAATCAGACCGGAGCCCAGGTTGACAGTGGTCTGCATGCCGTCGGAGAGGCTCTCCTTGGGGAACTGGCGGAAGATGCCCTCAGAAACCTTCTCGAAGACGACGAACTTGGCCATGGTGTAAGGGATCCTAGAGGAGGCGTAAGCGCAATTCATTCAGTCAATTTCGTTCAATTCTGGTACTTACTGCTTGAAGAGGATGGGTCCGAAACCGGCGTAGAAGGCACCGACACCCTCGTTCTTGAGCATCTTGGAGAAACCACCGACGAGACCGTTGGCATAGGTGGGCTCGGAGACGAGACGGATACGGGTGGCCTCAAGAGGGCAGAGGGCAATGTCGGCGAAGAACTCGGCGGCGGCGGAGGAAGCCAGGTAGATGGCAGTTCGGTTGTTGGAGGCAGTCTCCTGGCCGAGTCCGTTGATGAACTGGGCCTTGAAGAACTCGTAACCACCGAACTTGAAGGCACCCTGCAGGAAGTAACCGGCAAAGGTAGGGCCAGCACCAGTCAGGAGAGCGCCAGCACCCTCATTCTGGATGACCTGGCGGAAACCACCGATCAGGCCACGGTTGTAGGTAACAGGGTCGAGCTGGATACGGGTCTTGACGCTGTATCGAAGAGAAAATATTCGGTCAGCCAACGCGGTTCGGTTTCACGTGCTAAAAGATGAGAAGAGAAGAGGTCATCGCCAGGCAAAGGGCAATGATCTCAGCCTCTAGGAAGGAAAAATTGAGGGAGTAGCAACATACACATCGACGGGGGTAAGACCACCGTGGGTGACGGAGCAGCAGACGGCACCAGCGAGGGCGAAACGAGAGTAGAGAGAGAATCCCTCGAGCTTCTTGGGCTCGGAGAGAGTAACCTGAGCAGCAGCCATTGTGACGAGAGTAGTTGAAGCAGCGAACAAACACTGAGTGGGGAGAAAAAAGAGAAGTCTGGTTAGGCCGAGGAATTCGACGTGGAGAGGTTTGAGGTTTTGTCTGGGGAGGGCGGTGATGAAAAGCGGCGGCTTTTTGTTTGAGGTCTTTTTCCTGCTCCCTTCTTCCCGGGGACCGCGCTAGTCTAGGGGCATGAAAAAAAATTGTTGCAAGGGTGGGCTCGGGAACACTCGGGCAATTCGATTGGGCAGCTCAAGCGATTGGGTGCGGGTCAGATAAACGCTCAGGTGGCTGAGCTTAGCCACAGATTCACCGGCGGCTTCGAAATCGGTCGTTCCGAGATGCCGAGTTATGCAGAAGATGAGGCTGGCGATGGTTTTTATAGTATCTAGGCCAGGCCGCCATCTACGCAACTTCTTCATTTCCTCATACGATCGGTCGTAGACATTGTGATTCTACACACACCTGCGATGATGAGTCTTATTCAGCCAGCCACTCTCAGAAGCAATTCACTTTCGGTGCGTTGTTTGCAGACCCGCACGATTTTGCTTGTGGCTGGTGTCTGGGACTCCAGAGGCGCTCGGAGCCATTCATCTGTCCAGCCTTGCGAACGTGGGGCATTTGATCGGCCCCGCTAATCGCAGCTGGAGGATATTAAGCATACAGATGGTATATTGATGTAATGAAGCGCCGCCACAGAGCAGAACCTTTGAATCCAGCCGGCCACCCCGGGTTTTGCCGGTGTGCAAGGTATTCAAAACTCAAAATATAGAGTGGAATACACTGCTTGTGAGGGAAACTTGCACATTTTCTATTGTCGCAAGTTGCCGTTCCGGTCATCAAATTGTGCAATCTACCTTGCCGAGTCACCTGGGTCATGGCGGAGTTAAGATATCACTCATCCTACGTCCGACATCATGTGCACAGGATGAAACCTCATCATTCGGGGACTCTCACGAGACATATGGTAACTTCGTATTGACATTACCTCTGTAAAAGAGTTGTCAAACGATGATGGTCGCGTTTTATTCCCCTGTGGAGAAGAGCATGGTGGCGCTCTGCTTCCCCATACCCAACCGAAGTGTTGCTTGTGAAGTTTCCCAATGTGAAACGTCTTAGAACTTCTATTCAGAAAGATTATACCGCCCCAATGCTGTCGCTATATCATGCGCGGGAAATTCAGGAGAAATTACAGTAACTCAATGACGAGATGTGTTCTTTTCAATTTCCTCTTCAGTTTCATATGTCTATTCAAGGAATGTCGTTCTCATTCTTGCGGTCGTTTTTGGCTACCTACCCTATTGTTCAGCTAATTTTAGACCTGCACGTCATTGATCGGCAGAAAAATCTCCCGCAAACGCTGACCCATGGTAATGGGTCGTCGGTTAGTAAGCATGATTACATAATCATTGGCATGTGAACGGCGAGCCATCTTGACACTGCGATGAACTGATGCAGGCGGAAAGGCAGATGAGAAAGGAATAATTTATCGAAATCCAAGGGGGTTTTGTGTAAAAGTAATAAGTAAAAAATTGTAACCGCCTTGATCCTTCGCAGGTGTTTGAGGAAGATGGCTGCGACTCCACCACACTCGGGACGGCGAGAGTAAGGTCCTACAACTCGAATATCTTATCATGTACTTGGACAGTATATAGAAACCCGGGCTGTGTCTCATTTCGTTTAGAAATAGAAATAGCAAGTTTGGTGGTGAGGTTGCGGCCAACCTGCAAAAGGGAGGCACCTGGTGCAAATGTCAGAAGCGCCGGGTGATGAGGACAGTCGAATGTGCAGCTGTTGGCGGCCCTGCAGCTTTCTGCTAGATTCTCTGCAATTCCATGAGCAAGCGCGCGTTTGCATCTTCTACTCATTGTTCACTTTTCACTTTTCACTTTTCTCTTCGTAACAACACCCTTTTCTCCCAGTCGCGTTGATTCCCCTCATCCTCCTTCACCAGACCCATCTCGCAATAATTGACACACATCTCCTCTCGTTGAACGGATCTCCACTCTCCATCTTCTGCAAGCAGACCAAAAGCATCGAAACGAATTTGACAGTTCGTCAGCTAGTCGACAGGATGTCTTCTCGAAAGTGGTGGGAGAATCCTATTGTCACCATCGACGCGCCTCGCGACTTGGACCCCGGACAAGAGCGCCTGGAGAACGAGGAATATGCCAAGCTGATGGTGGGCTATCGCCCTCCAAGCGCAAGAGACTATAAAGGCATCTCTAAAGAGCAACATGAGGCGCAATGTCAAGCGTTGGTCGCAAATGTTTTCCACATGATTGAGACCGATCCTGCGGATCATCAGGCCTGTTTCCGCAAGTGCGTTGACAAGTGCGTCACGACGGGCGTTTTGCATGCACACAACTGGCTGCAATGGGACGGATACAAGGAGTTGAGCGTCGAAATGCACCAACTTGCCAAAGCAACACGGCGAACCGGCCAGGTGCATATCCTCAACGCCCCGAGCGTGATAGCAGCCATCACTGTTATGAGCTTGCGCGATATGGAAGTAGTGGGCAACGATGATTTGACAGCACTGTTGATCAGCCTCAAAACATTTCAATATGCACACTCGTCCGTGGAGTATTGGTCGGCAGATGCAGGTTTCGGCGGAATCATCCACACAACCGAACCATACGTGGGCCCCCGGTTGGAGGGAGGCTTGGTCATTAACCTAGATGCCGAGCCGGCAATCGGACAAGCTGTGGCAGTCATCAACACGACCCCCGTGCCAGTCGACATCTCCATGCTGAACAATGCCCAGTTGATGTTGGAAATGCGGCAGTTTGACATCCCACACTCACGTCCGCACACCTCAAGCCCACCATCTTTTGTGAGCGACACAAAGCTAAACGCGATCTTGGCTGATTTGGAAGATCTTTGCAATCATGACTTGAGTCCTGCGGTGAAACGCAAGATGCAGACGTTCGCATACCGAGTGAGACACGAATTTGGACGCCGGGTCAACCAATAGGCAGACATGGAAGCCATCAATCAAAACACGGGAATTGAGCATGTCGAGGGACTCATCAATTACGACGAGTTATATCACTGGGGGCATACCCGTGAAGGCACTGAGACGGAGGATCACTAGCTTCGTGTGCGATTGGGAGACATGGAAGGATGGGAGAAGGCAAACGGCAGACGATGGATGTCATCGTCGAGATACAAGTACCTTCTCTTCTGCCGGAGCCACTAGTTGTGTTGAATCATATACGGAGGGGTGGGGATTCGGACTTCTTTCTTTTTTCTAGTGATTGCAGTCATCTATTCGTTTGCCTCCTTCGGTCGGCCAACTTTTGGTCGGCGACTGATGGAGGACACGAGTTTCAGTTATGGGCATACGGTCGCCTCGCACAGTGAGTTTGCGCGTTGCATTACTCAGTCGGTTTACATATCGAAAAGTTTCGCTGGTTCGGTTCGGTTCTTTCTTCTTTTTCTTTCGGTATCGGAAATGGTTCATCTGGCAAAGGGAGGACAAGGCGCCTACGGGGATTTCTTCATGGATTCACGGTCGAGACATGGGCAACCCAACTCATGGGGAGATGATTAATGGACTAGGTCATTTGCGTTAGATAATCGGTAGATAGCTTAGGTATAAATCGATTGTTTTATACTGTCCTGGTCGTCGCCCAGCAAACTGAGCCAGCAACATGTCTGCAATGCACGCCATTCTCTGCATACACCAGAGAAGTAATGCAGAGATTTAAATAGATAAGAGTAAATAAAGGGTTTTAAGCTGATCTACTGCTTCTTGAAGTTACTAGTGAGCCTATGGCTTGTCACTTCATCTTTATTCTGCCTCTCCAAAGTGACTAGAATGATCAAGTTACATATTTACACAATCCTATTTGTATTCTCTTCACTATATGTACGGAATATCTTCATTAGGTATGTAGTAGAGCATCCAGTCACATGTGCATCCAACTTTGATGGCTTCGGCTCAAGGCTCTCCCGGTCGCCAGTTGGCAACCACTTGACAGCTGTCACGACGCAACAGCTCTCTCTCTCTACGCATTATCGCTTCAGCCGCGGCTTACCGCTTGTCAGGTGATATCTTTCGGAATGTTTTTGCTATTGACAGCGTGACGCGTGCGCCAAAATTTCCCCATCTTCTTCACTCCATACGCGGGTTCTCGCGAAGCGTGTTTTCAGTTACCACCACTTCACGACCTGATATCTGTCTCAGGCCGACATACTTTGTCCCAGCCTTTCTTTTTGTCAGGCACCATTGTCACTATGGCGTCTGACACTCTCGAGGTCGTCGAGGTTGATCCTTCTGTCGCCGCCTCGGGAGATGAAGGAACTGGCACCGAGGAAGCTGCTGCATCCAAGGAAGCTCGAAGCAACCTCAAAAGAATGGCAGCCATATCTGTGTGGAATAGCGTCCTGCTACACGTCAATGAGACGCTTTTGCCCGGTTTCGCTCGCCATCACGTTGGGCGTATGGCAAGGAGTGTCGCTCCAGGTCTTCGAGTGGAGGTCCAGACAGCTTGGGGCTCTCGCATTCCATCCACGATCATCCTCCGACTTCAAATTAGAAACGGGGACGAAATAAGCGACTTTGCAGTCATCAACTTGCCCATGGGCCAAACAAAGTTGCCGTTGACTACCGACTACCTCGACGCAGCTGATGAGTCTCTGATGAAAGATACGTTTCCCGATCCAAGAATGGATCATTTTGGCGCAGCTCACTCACGATTTCGCAATCAAGACTTGAAATATTTCGAGACTGTTGAACCCACAGCGGAGATATCTTCTTTCATCAAGCACACCACTACCACAGTTGTGCGAGTCACTGCCGCAGTAGAAGCCCACGAATTCACCATCATGTATCCGTCGCACTTCTGGGATCACACCCAACGTCTACCAACTTCATTGCAAAGAGTCGCCAAGAACATCAAATCTTTGTTTGATTCGATGAATCCAGAAGAGCAAGTCTCACTCCAAGTCACATTTCCATTCAGCCCAAACTGGGAAAAAGATTGGCACGTGTTCTTTACTGATGAGCGCAAAGTCAACTCCGAGATTCTCGACATCGCATCTCTCTGCAATGGTCACATCGAAGACCTGGATTACTCTAAAATGCTCTCGGGCCGTATAAGCTTTGCCGAACAAGTCGCATAGAAGCAACACTTGGCAGGCAAATGCGACAAGATAGTCTTTCAAGCACGTTTATTCCCCTTTCCAGGCTCAGAGTGGACTCCAAAGACCAATGATGAGGAAGAGTATGGCATGTTTGGTACACACCTTCCAACAGGTTACCTGATGGCCGTCAGTCTGAAAAGCGTCAGAGACTTTTTACCCGACATTGGAACCACAGTCAATGTATACCTCAGAGATATCGCACAAAATGGCTACACATTGCCGAAGCCGCAAACCAGCAAAGGCGAAACATACCTGATTGCGGATAGCATCACTTGCAGTCTTTTTAATGCTGATTATAAGGCGGAACAACAAATTAAACGCAAGTTTGGGGATGACCACCCGGACATGCCTGAACTTGTCACAGAGCTTTTCCCCAGTATAGCTGCCGTGGAGTTGGAGCCGTACCTCCCCATGCCAGCCAAAGACGATCCGCAGCACCAAGAAGCCCGAAAAGTAGCTGCTTATCTGCGGCAGCGTAACGACGAAGATTACAAAGAGCATTTTTGGCGCGTTCACAGTTGGCTTCGCCCGAGACTTTGTGTTGCTCCCAAAACTGGGTACCACGAGCCCTACTCGGGCCACCGCTTAAATCTCCCACCTGGTGTTTCCGCGGACGTCGCTCTCTTCTATGTCGAGGTTCCAAGACAGCGAGATTGGCCTCGTGATTTGAAGAAGCCCCCTATGAGAGTTGACATTCCAGACATGCCTCCTTCAATTGACCTCCAATCGTTTCTAGCAAACGCGTTTGAGAATCAGGATGAGGTCATTCGCGCCGAAATTCGCTACTCTTTTGACGCAGAGCTGTACGACGAAGAAGGTCCGACATTTTCTCTCAAGGGAACGCTCGGCCCCAACCATGTGGTAGACGATTGGCTGAAGTCCATGGTGAAAGCTTCAGACATGCCAAAGACTGACCGTACCGATTAATCTCAGGGACAGTTGGATAAAGGTCACTCGTACTCTTCAGCTCAAGCAAAAGGCAGAAGTGGAAGCGAACTCACGAGAGGGAGTATGTGATTGACTACTATTCTGACATTCGGCAAGTTTATTCAGCATTCAACTTGGAGGTTCAAAGGAATACGAATAGTAAAGTCGACGTCGACTTGCTGCCAAGTCTCACAAACCATCTGTACAAGTCAACGCCACGGGCCAATATGGTCGGTCGTATAGTCTGTTCGCGAATATGGCTTTGTTGGAACTCACGGGATAAGACATGAGACCAGGGAATATGGAAAAGTGTGTAATCTCCAGTTGTTGTAGCTAGAACTGAGGTATAGTTGTCTTCGGCTAATTTGAGTCATTCCTGTTGTAGTATTTTCACGATAGATGGGATATCTAGGATTAGCGTGTTATCAAGCAGCCATTCAGAAGTCAGTCATAACGTGCAAAGAACTTTTTCCTGCAGCTCGTATTTCGATGACCCCCCGTGGATCGCCAAACTGCAAACTTGGCTGTGATTGTGATCATGGCAGACAAATAGTTTGCTCTGAAGCATCCTGACCTCACTATGATACAAGAAAGCCGAGAGTAGGATCCTCTATTACATTCCAAAGCATCATACGCACGGCGGGACCATTACGGCCCTCACACAAGCTCGTTCCCCGAGGAAATAGCCAATATTTACTGGGTATCCCAAGGCTCGGCTCAGTAATGGCGTCATTCCCATCTTCTGGAGTGGAACATCGTCATTTTTTTCTGAGGCTAACGATCTGCCAAGTACGAGTATGGGCGTGAACTATTCCCACTTCTGAGGAGTTCGGCATCGGGAAATCTCCACGCGGGCTCGACGATCGGTCATCGTATACCCTTACATCTACATACTGTGGCTGGGTAGTATACCTATCAAGAAAATTCCGGTGGCGAGGAGCTGAAAGAAAAACCAGCTTCAACTTGGGCATTAAACAGCGTCCGTGCTCATCACCGCAAGTTGCCCGAGAGGGGTGACAGGACAGCTAGCGGAACGGTGGCCGAGGAGGAATCTCGATTCCTTTGAGATGTCATTGGCCGAATTTACATGGTGGTGATAAAAATAGTCCAGTCGCTCTGTTGGTTGCAAACATTACGGTGGAGAGGGAGCTCACCGGTAGAGCTCGGTCCAACAACAAACACATCGATCTGGAGTCTATTTGCCGCGCCATCAACCCAACCAAAGATGGGATATGAGGAGATACGGACTTATCCGCCCGTTATTGAAGCGATGAGTTACTTTGTCGGTACATATCTTGAAGGGAGGCTACGTGCAGTTGGATTAATTGGGACAGCTGCCCAGCTAGCTGAGCTGGCATCATTCGACCTTGGAAAACTCAGATTGCAGAGACGGTCATTCCCCGGCCCCATTCGCCACCGTTCAATGCACAGACTTGGCCTGACGATCGGGCCACTAGAGGTGGGCCAGGATGGATTCGATGAGAGTACATTCGCGGAGTTGTACTCGTACACGGCAAGAAACCGTGCATCTTGACTGAATCGTCACCCCGCATGTGGGCTAGAAAATGCCATTCACGCATGCCTCTTGCTGGAACGAGGCCGTGGTATACAAAGTGTTAGAAGCTGGCAAGTTGGTGGTTGGCCGAGTCGATCATGCAGGCGTCCACAGGGGTCGTATAAGCTTAAGATGGCGGCTCCTATTTGACAGCTTCTCGCATGTGGGCTGTAATATTGGCAGCATATACGAAGCCATGATGCTATTATTACACCTCAAGACTCCAGCTACCATGCGGCGATCCGCTCGTGTGTACAGACTGTACGGAGCAAGAGCAAGAGCACACAGCCAAGCGGCTTCTCCTGTCGATGGATACGGGATACGGAATGGCGGGGTCTTGTGCAGTGGATAGTGGACCCTCGCTGCAGGACTTGGAGATAGTAATGGTGAGGGCACAGCTTGTGTATCGATGCGGCCATGGTTAGCTCAGCTGCCCAGAGGCCGTTGCAGCGATGTGACTGGATGGTCGTGCTGCATGAAGCGGTTGGTGGCTGCAGTGTGTGTTAATAATGCGAGATGAAGTTGAGCAACCTCGTATTCACCAATACGAAAAAAAAAAAAAGAAAGCAAGAAAAAAAATTTAGAAGACTGATGCGGTGTCATAAGTCAGTCAAAGCACTAATCAAACGCCCACAATGCCAACAAGAAGAGCCACCACCGACAATGAGCCTTGGCAACCTCTGCATTTGACATGGAGACCGATTGCTGCATCGAAGTTGCTTGTACTGGTACAGAACCGTACGAACAGCTTGTCGGCGTGCTTTCACTCTCCGGAGCGACAAAATGGCTCACTTGTTGAAATGCTGCCGACGTCTCTTCTATGACGCTGTTAAGGTCCACCGAGACGCAAATTCTCACTCAAGACTCCGTACGTGAGCCGAGGCCAGTCGCTGAGTTTTCGTGTGTGGATTGTGCGACTGTGCGAAGACTCTGACTCTGGAGATCGGCAGGGCGCAGGAAGATTGGACCTTGTAGGGATAAAATTGGTTGGATCGTAACGATCTCGCCAAGAAATGATGGAAAAAAGAAAGAAAACAGGGCGAGATCAAGCAGAAATTATTACGGAGAAGACGAGAGGATGAGAGCCGTTTGTACCTTGGTACATCATACAGGTATGATGGTGCGTGGGCAGCCGAGGTAGATTGACCTCGGGTGTGCCTCTGTCGTTCCTGCCGTCCATCACAGCGAGCCGCGATCATCCCAGCCCAACCGCTCCAGCTGGATCGCAGCTTCCTGAGTGCGCAGCGGCAGTTCGGAAAGGATCGATTGGTCACGGAAATTCCTGCAAGTTCCAGCTCTTCCGAATCTCTGCACTCGAGTAATCCCGCGCGGTCATTCTCTCATCATCATCCTCAATTCATCCATTTTTCAGCCAGCATGATCCCTCTTTTGACTCACTCCACCACCCCCTGTCACTGTCAAACAGATCAGCACAGCCCAGCAAGCAACACCCCTGCTAATTCGAGTGGTTAGGGCGGCCCGAATTGAAGTTACCACAGTACGCCCTAAGCCGCTGCAACAAACAGCCACACCTCACGGACGCACCACAGCCAACCATTTCGCGCGGGACGCTGCTTGACTGCAGTCTTTTGCGCCTTGGCAGCCTGCTCTGCATTTCCGGCGCCCTAACAACGGTGATATTAGTGTGAATACTGCGAATTACTGCTGGCAGTCACTGGTACGAACAGTGCGGAGTACATACGTGCAAACAGAGCGCTTGCAACGGCACAGTGACCCGTCAACCCGGTGACGTGCCCGACTAAGAGCGGAGGGAGGGAGAGACGATCGGGAACAAGAATAGTAACAGCCAGTGACAAGACGATGGTGAGGACATGGGGAAACGGCCAAGTGTCTTTGCAGCAGGCTGTCTTTCTGAATCGATGGGAATAGCTTTACACACCGGATGTGATGCTGCCTGAATGGATCTGCAAAGAAGCAAAAGGATGGCAGCACAGCCTTTCATTCTGCAAGCTCCCGGGTATTCTTGACGGCCAACGGATTCATCATGAGGAAGCCGTCAAAGTCTCAGCATATCGCAGACGCACATCAATTCGCATCATATGCTAGTCACCACCATGCCTTGAAATAACGATTTGTGACGTAGTAGGCCATTCACCTTTGCCATTATCTGTCTACGTTACAAAACCAATTGACGCCTTCGGCAAGATACACAGCGAAAGTGTCTCACCGAGCAGCTGAGATGGCGGGCGCTTAAGTCCTCGTTATCGATATTGTCTAGGAAGCTGCAGGTCTTGTCTCTCTATGCAGAGCATAAGCCTGACCGTCTTCATACAGCAGGTACAGTGGATTGCTATTACATAAGGCGACCGAACCGCCGAACTGTGTAGAAACAGGGCATGGTATGATTTCTAATTTCGGATCACCGATACGAATCTCGCCAATGAGCCTGGACAGAGAGAGACTCAGGCGTGTCGCCTTGCCGATCATTTCCGGTGGCCTGCCAACTCTGAGCAGCTCTGGACAATACATGCCTTACAGAGTGTTGCATTGAGTCTGATATTGGCACACGGTAACACGAGTGTCGGTTGCTAATGATAGCACTTTTGCCAACGGCATACGAACGCCGTACCTCACTCATCATGCTGTGAGCATCCTGCCCCCATAGCCACGACCCAATTCAGACTTTGTACAACATTTGGTCGCACTGGCATAGAGGGGCTGTCCGTGGGGTGGAAATTGTGGGACATGGGAGGGCCGGAAAAAAAGGAATAAGAAAAATACCTTGTGTCCCTTAATTGAGGTGCGAGTGTTGTTCAATTTCCAGGGAATTCTACGACGACTAATACGATGGAGTACTAGTACGGAGTACTCCTATTCATGACCAAGTATTATACCATACTGTACTTGACGACAGAGCACAATGACCGCCTTTCTCCGTATTAGGTGAACAGGGGGGTTCGTCCTTTCAGAGATTGCGATGGATGGGTGCATGTTTCCAAAGACTCGCCGAGAGCGAGGGGATGGGGTAGAGACAGGGCCAGACAACTAAACATCGCTGCCCAAAGCATGATCGAGATTGCGAGATGAACAGAAACAAACAGCGAGAAGGAAAAGCGAGCGAATGGCGAGCGGTTGAGCAAGCGAAAGGACAAGCGACGGCCAGAGACGCCTTGTTGAGACAGAAGCAGGAAATGGTCAACAGGCGCAAAGGATTGGTCAAGGAACTACCACTGAGAGCGTGAGAGACAGGTCGTCAACAGGTTGCGAGGCGCTGCCAGGCCCTCCCTGCACTTGCGTTGGCGGAAACACTGTTGCGCTAAGAGCCTAGTCAGGGGCGCACAGTGGAGAAGCACGCCTTCGCTCTCGTTGAAGGCTGACCTCTCGCCTTCGAGCCGTACAGTGCTGTATGTGCGAAGTACTGCCACCCCTGCCATGCACCTTTGGCACCAGCGGTTCCACCCTCGTGGCCTGCACGCGCCGCCTCCCAACATAGCACAGTACAGTATGCAGATGCTGCTCTGCTTGTACCGGTACCGACGCATGTGCTGATGTGCCTGGCTGGTGGAGCTGCGTATCGGGTGGCGGCTGCGGCTGCACCTCAAAGGAGATGGATCCTGGACCTCCTCCTCTCAAATCATGCACACAGCACGGGACATACGACCCAGCGTTTTCGGCTTCACCACCTGGACCACCCGTGCAGGGTTATTTTCGTATTCCGGGCTAGCACCATGGGCACCTTGGCCGAGCCAGTTTTTTTCGATTGTTTCCAATGGAAGTTGGAAGCCTGCAGAGATATAAGGCTACCGTCCGTCCCCGTGGTCCCCAGTTTCGGAACCCTTCTTTCCTTCCCTATCCCAACACACTCTTTTGCTGGACTCACTTTCTTTCTTACGTCTTTTGACTGAGAGGTTCATTCGTTTATACCCTCAGCAAGACAGTTCCTAAGAAGTTTTATTGTTATTGTGTTAATCATGAAGGGCGCCTTTGTTGTTGGCGCCATCGCCATTGGCGCGGCCAATGCTACGCATTACCCCAACTGCGAGCAGGACAACTGCTACCGCAACCTGATCGATGAACGCTTCAGCGCCGAAGCCACTGGCGCCTGCTTCAGCTGGCTCGCCGGCACCACTACAGCCAACGCGGCTATTCCCACAGACTACGCCAACTGCCCCGACTACAACGCTTTCAGCTCTGCCTGCTCTTGCGTCACTTACACGGCCACACACACTGACGGCGGCGCTGCTCCTACTTCCCAGCCTGCCTACCCTACTCCTCCGGCTGCCGGCTCTTCAAGCAACGCCTACCCCGTTCCCCCGGCCAGCACACCCACGAACGCTTACCCCGTTCCTCCCGCCAGCTCTTCGAACGCTTACCCCGTTCCCCCGGCTCAGACTACTCCCGTGGTCTACCCTACTCCTCCTTCTCAGCCTGGTGGTGGCAAGCCTGGCAAGCCTGGCAACGGTGGCGATGAGGACTGCGACGAGACCAAGACTCACCCCGGCAAGCCTCAGTCTACTCCCAGCTACCCCGGCGGCCCTGGTAACCCCGGCCACCCTGGAAAGCCTCAGACCTCTCCTGTCGTCTACCCTACTCCTCCTTCTCACCCTGGAGGTCCTGGCGGTCCCGGCAAGCCTCACTCCAGCAGCGAGGACTGCGATGAGACCAAGACTCACCCTGGCCAGCCTCACTCAACTCCCAGCTACCCCGGAAACCCTGGCCACCCTGGCCACCCCGGCCACTCCGAGACTGCTCCCGGATATCCTGTTCCTCCTGCTTCAACCTCCGGTGGCCAGCTTCCTGTCACCACCGGCCCTGCTGCTTCCGAGACTGTGATCGTCCCCACTGGCCCTGCCGGCACTGACACCGTTGTTGTTCCTACTGGNCCTGCCGGTACCGACACCGTTGTCGTCCCTACCGGACCTGCTGAGACCGAGACCTCTCCCGTCTACCCTACTCCTCCTGCTGAGACCTCTGGCGGTTCTTCTCCCGTCACCACCGGCCCTGCTGTCCCTACCGGCCCTGCCGGCACTGAGACTGCTCCTGCTGGTACCGAGACCGCCGTTGTCCCTACTGGCCCTGCCGGTACCGACACCGTTGTCGTCCCTACCGGACCTGCTGAGACCGAGACCTCTCCCGTCTACCCTACTCCTCCTGCTGAGACCTCTGGCGGTTCTTCTCCCGTCACCACCGGCCCTGCTGTCCCTACCGGCCCTGCCGGCACTGAGACTGCTCCCGCTGGTACCGAGACTGCTCCCGCTGGTACTGAGACCGCTCCTGCTGGCACCGAGACCGCTCCTGCTGGCACCGAGACTGGTGTTGTTCCCACTGGCCCTGCTACTGAGACCATCCCCGTCTACCCTACTCCTCCTGCTGAGACCTCTGGTGGCTCTTCTCCTGTGACCACCGGCCCTGCTGGCACCACCGAGACTGCTGTTGTCCCTACCGGTCCCGCCGGCACTGAGACCGCTGTTGTCCCTACTGGCCCTGCTGGTACCGAGACTGCTCCCGCTGGTACTGAGACCGCTCCTGCTGGCACTGAGACTGGTGTTGTTCCCACTGGCCCTGCTACTGAGACCATCCCCGTCTACCCTACTCCTCCCGCCGAGACCTCCGGTGGTCAGCTTCCCGTCACCACCGGCCCTGCTGGTACCGAGACTGGCGCTGTCCCTACTGGTACTGAGACTGCTCCTGCTGGCACCGAGACTGGTGTTGTTCCCACTGGCCCTGCTACTGAGACTATCCCCGTCTACCCTACTCCTCCGGCTGAGACTTCCGGCGGTTCTTCTCCCGTCACCACCGGCCCTGCTGGTCCTGACACCACCGCTCCTCCCCAGTACAGCACCTCTACCATCTTCACTACCACGGTCCGCACCATCACTCAGTGCCCTCCTGAGGTTACCAACTGCCCCATTCGTCCTCAGACCGTGACCGATACCATTGCCATCTCCACCACCATCTGCCCTATCACTGCTGCCGAGGGAAAGACCTCTACCGCTCTTGTCTACCCCACCCCCCCTGCCAACTCTGGTTCCGGCTCTTCTCCTTCCGGCCCTGCTGGTGGTGCTCCTCCTGCCCAGAGCTCTGGATCTGGTTCTTCTCCTGTCACTACTGGCGCTCCTCAGTACAGCACCTCCACCATCTACACCACCACGGTCCGCACTATTACTCAGTGCCCTCCTGAGGTTACCAACTGCCCCATTCGTCCTCAGACCGTGACCGATACCATTGCCATCTCCACCACCATCTGCCCTGTCACCGCCACCGAGAAGACTCCCGGCCAGCCTGGTTACACTGCTCCTGGTGCTCCTGGTGCTCCTGGTAGCCCCGTCTACACTGCTCCTGGTGCCGAGCCTACCACCACCACCACCGCCACCTCTTACATCACCCAGACCTTCACCGTCACCCGATGCCCTCCTGGAACTCCCAACTGCCCCGTTGGCAGCGTCACCACCACGGTCTACCCCAACGGCCCCAACGGTCCTTCTGAGATCCCCACTCTTGTTTCTCAGACCGTGCCCGCTTACACTCCTCCCGCGGTCACCCCCGTTGCTCCCAGCGCTCCTGCCAGCGTTCCTCCGGTTGTCATCGCTCCTCCTCCCGCGTCTTCTGCCGCTGCTGTCACCCCTGTGGTTCCTCCTTATGCTCCTCCTCCCGTTGGAACTGCTCCCGTTGTTCCTCCTCCCGCTGGAACCGCCCCGGCCGGATCCCCAGTCTACACTGCTCCGGCTAATCCCCCTGCTCCTGCCGGCACCAACCCTGCCGGTCCCCCAGCTGGTGGCAACCCCGGCTCCGGCGTTCCCCCCGTCAACGGTGCTGGCCGTGTTGGTGGCAGCCTCTTCGCTGTCATCGCCGCTGCAGTCTTCCTTTTGTAAATTGGATAAGCTAAAGTGTGTTTTTGGGTCTGGAACATGTACACTTGGGAATCATCCATGTCATGATCAGAAACGTGTAAATAGTATGATTTAGAGAAGGATTTTTTTATTTGCTTTATTCTTACATAGCCACACCAGATCCGGTAGATTTGGATACATGGACAAGGCTTCATATGGTAACGAAAACCATTTTTATTTCTTTATTCTATATTAGTTGAATGGCATGGCAGTCTAAAATTATCTGATGTCTCTACCTCTTGTGACATGATGTTTGCTCTGTCTTGGGAGATGAAATGTTTCTACGAGTTCTAAACCAATGAAAAGATGGCTGTATAGTAAGCTTTTGCCTGCGGAAGCATCGGATAGAAGATGCATTCTTGTTGCTAGTATACCCGTCATAGTACGAATTAGTGCCGCAATCGAACTTGTCGTCGATGCTAGTCAGGTACCGTAAGAAATGGCTCAGATCCAAAGTAACGTTGGGTGTGTACTAAGAGCCACTTAGTCAGATCTACAGCGTATTTTCATGGTCAAAGTGGTGGTGTCTAAGACACGATGAAGATGCGGCTTAAGTGGGTAAGGTGGGAATAGGCACCCCCTGGTCGGTCCAAGTTTTTAAGACACAGCGGGAAAAAGAAGGAAGAAGGAAGAAAAACGCCGCTGCGCGCCGGCTTCTTCGGCTTTACTGTTTGTGGTAAGGTTGTGGCGAGGGGGATGGGGCGGGTGGACGGCATTGGCCGAGAGGGGGATAGAGGGGATGGAGATGGGGGTGGTTTTTTGTGGTGTTTTTTTTCTGTTGTTTATTTGTGTATACGAGGATGAAGGTGAGGATGAGTACAGTATGAGTGATGGTGGTTCTGTCTGTCTGCGGGACGAGATGAGATGAGGAGATGATTGTACGAGTTTGTAGGACGGGGAGCCAATCGGTGCTTGAGGAGGCATGGACAAGCAAGTAGGCTTACTGTATGCTTGAATGAGTGGATATTTTGTCTTTTGCGCAGCCGCTGGTTTGGCTTGTCTTGTCCGTGATGTGATGCATCTGCTGTCAGCACCGTACATGCGGTGCTTGTCGGATTGTAAGCCGATCCCGGTCCTTGCATCTTTTGTTTCTGAAAAAAGATGCACTGTACAGCGTGTAGAGTACTTTGGACCACTGAGCCCAGGGATGTCATTTACATGGCACTTCTGCAGGTACCAAAAAATCCACGACACCCATCCAAGAGGGGATCCTCCGCCGGGATCTCTTTTGCCCACACTAGTGCTAGCTAAATTATCCAGGGGCGCGCCTGGGGCCCCGGCAGCTGTTTCAAGCAGATGCTTTTCCCCGTAGAGGCTTTTTTTGTGCTGTCGTCCTTCGAGTCTGGCAGCGGGCGGGATGCCGGATGTGGCGCTCATTGGTGCGCTGGTTTCTTGCGAAGGCGTTTCTTGGTGGCTTTAGCCTTTCGGGCCTGTCATGTTTTAATGTGACGACGATGCAAGTTCCTTTGTACGTAGTGCCTGTTGTGAATGTCCACTCACTTTTGCGTGTTGCGATCGTCGATGCTTAGTGCGAGACTTTTGAGATTTTAGGTGGGTGAAATGGGTGGTGAGACGGCAGCGTTATGCACGAGAGGTGTGCGATCATCGATCTGGGACGAATTCCGCGCGGCGCCGAGACACGAGATGGTTGAGACTCCATGTGGGAGGGCATGCCGAACTCCGCACACGGTATGAGCACAGTGTCTGTCCCTGTACATGAACCTGACTGAGCCTAGACCTGAACCCATGTGTGCGTGTGCGCCCAGCCGAGCTGAACGACTGTTTGATTGAATGACCTGTCGACCTTCTAGACGCAGTTCTTTGGCGACGCGAGCCATCTTCACCGCTCGCTTCTCGTCGCCGGCGCTCAAAGTAATCAACCTGCCCTGGCCGGCCGGTATACGAGTCATCGAGCGCTGGCCAAAAGGAAATCTTCTTTTCCCACAGCTTCTCCTTTTTTTGTTTGTTGTGGAGCAGCAGCCGGGGCGCCAGCACAGCCGACCTTTGCTGCGTTTGCCTTCCGGATTGGAGCGCTCGCGTGGTTTGTGATCCTTGCGGGAACAGGAATTTGTACACTGGTCATACTTGGAAAATAGATTAAACTCGTATTGCACGGCATTCCCCCCCCTTTTTTCGCACCATGTCGCCCGGCGTTTTTGCTCTCTTGCTGGATGCATGTTAAAGTGGGCATTTGGGAATCTTGAAACCTGAGTGTTATGCAGGGGCCGAGGGAAGAATGCAGACGCCAGCAGTCTCACAGTCACAGTATGAGCACTCGTACTTGCAGAGCGGCCTCCGGAGGCTTTCTGGCTGACCGGGTCTCCATCGCTGCAGTTGCCGGTCACTTTCTGCGTTGGTTGCCTGCGTATGCCTGATTGTGTGTGGACGGTATGAGGCGCGCATACAAGGATGAATGAGCTTGTGGTGCTGCTTGTGCTGCGGAATGCAAAGGGCGCCCGTTGCTTGTGCATGTAAAGGATCACGTTAGGTAATCTGGAGTTTGCTGCCTTGGAGCCTTGTTGACCGCATAATAACCGAACTGCAACTGAGCCACTCGCCTTTTGTATGACGCTGAGTCTTGGCCGACCGTATGACTGATGCCGTACGGTAGAGCCTCAATATTCTTCCAATTGAGACAAATGGCTCTGACGTCTGGAGTTTGTGCGTTGGCCGAGACGATGGCCTCGCAATGGGGGCGGAAGAAGTGAAGGGAGGAAGAACCATCTTTAAAATCCTACGATAACTTGTCCTATCTCGCATCGCCACAACGCAGCCACACCCTCCCAAAGGCCGGACGTCGATGATGGTGTTGAGGCGCAGCTAGGCTGGCACAAGTCTGGTACCAGGCTGGCCAATCACGTTGCGCCATGCCTCTTCTTTCCATCGGGCATCACAAGAATGACCGCAACAAACTGCAAGAAAAGGCATCGTGTCGCTCCAACAACAGTTCGCGGCCGACCGTGAGACCAGCAGATATGAGGGGAATGCTGCAAGTTTCTGCAGAGCTGCCTCCCTCGGGTCACTTGATTGCATGCTCCGCCATCAATAGAGCTTTGCTCAAATACTCCCACAGCCGACCAACATCATGATGCATCCAACACTTCTCTCTGACTTGTGGATGCGGGATTGCCGGCCCCGTTGCTTAGTCTGTGCTCTTACTTCTACTACTGCTTTTAAACGAGAAAACGATACCCGGGCTATATCTTCTTCAGCTGGACAAACAACAGAATAGAGCTGCGAGGGACCATGAGCGGACGGCTAGTGCCTAGGTTGACTATACCGACGCAGGCGAACTCGCCCGGCAATCAGCCAACCAGCCCAAATGGTCGTCCCGCAACATGGTCCTCATCTGCCCAGCGCAAGATGGCTAGGCTCTATGTGTTTACAACACTGTCGGTTGATAAGATTCGCGCCATCATCAACGGACAACAGCCTCCCGACAAGACTATCCAGTAAGCTTAGCCGAGTTCAAGGCAGCTATATGTAGCTACCATACCTACTATAGTACTGCTGCGGGCTATCTTTTTTTCCCTCGACATACGTTGTGCAGTCAGACTGCTAACATGCGCAAACAACAGACAGAGCTCCGCAAACAAGAGGCTCCAGACGCTCTTTGACAAAGAGCCGCGATGGCTTCATCCCAAAGACGACGAGGATATGGGGCGGCGAATTACCGAGCTGGCCAACTCGCCAGTCCAACTCCGTGCCGCGTCAGAAGTGCACTTTCCCTCTGCTCACGAGAGTCAAGGACACTCCCCATTCTGTGGTGGGAGCGACTACCATGAAAGCAGCGTGGGAGCGGGATCAAGGCCGTCGAGTGCGTCCCCAAGCGATGCATATTCGGACTCGATCCATGGTCGCGATATCTTCATGGAATCGCAAGCGTCCAGGTCCTGCGTCCTCTTTGACATACCAGAGGAAACCCCCAGCCAGAACTACGGATACCGGAGTAACTCTATGGGTGTTTGTTCAAGCGAGGGCCCGTTTGCCAAGTTCCTCCGCGCGACAACTTTCATGACTGAGTCAAGTGCCAACACCACGGGCACATTCAGGAAGCACCTTACCGAATATTCAGAACCTTATGTCAAGGTGGTCAAGCGTCTTGTCAAGAGGTTCACTTCGCCAGCAGCCGGCCTGGAGAGCATGTCTCAAGAACACAACTTGCGTGTGGCTTGGAACGAAGACTGGATCGGCGGCCCCGAGGCAACGACGGTGTTTAACATTGACGTTCCTTTACCGGGACATCTCCTGAACGTGGACTTTTCCGCCCGGTTTGGCCACATTCGTAGCATTGCGCCGACATGGGAGGACTGGTTAGCCCAGTCTCTGGGCACTTTTCACTGGATGACACCTGAAGGACCATCGCCTGGTGCTCACATGTTTATCTCCACGCAAACCAGCAGACATGATGCTCTGCTGCTGGATCGCCATCGACACACCGTGCTGCATTTCCTGGCAGCTTATGCCCCCTTCCCGGTATTATACCAAGCTCTTATAAGCGGTACCGTCAAGGACATTGTCAATTATCAGAATACTGCGGGGCAAACATTCATGCATGTCCTCAGAGATGATGAATCTGTTGGTCCTGACCATATCGAAGAATTGATCAGAGTTGCACGGGCTTTGAACTTCAACATGCTTGCGCGAGACTGCTCCGGTCGTTCCCCTTTACACGTTCTCACCATGCAGAACAAGACAATACGCTTACATTCCCTGCACGATCTCGACCCTCGCGAGTATCTCCAGCGCGATGCGCTCGGCTTTATACCCATCATTGAGAATCTCAGTCCCATACGACCGCACTTTGGTGGTGGGCTGAGTTCAGATGTATTGGGGTTACGTCATTACGCAATACTGCATCCCGCCCTTGACCCTACACTGAGTAACGACCCTGCGCTATCACAGGAGAGTCAGCTTGTGCAAAACATTAGGGTATCGATGGAGAATCGCTTTCATGAGGATGAATTCGGCCACAATGGCCTCCATTGTCTTGCCATGGCGACGTTAAGTTTGGGCAGCATCGCCGAGAAACACGGATTGGATAAGACAACGGAGAGCCTCGGCCCACGCGAGAACCGAAAGGTGGTAGATTCGTCAGAGCAGATAATGGAGCTTCGGCTTGATCTACTGAGGGCCTTGCTTGATGCTGGGCAAGATCCGAACCATAGGGACGTCTTCGGCAACACTCCTCTCATGGCATTCGCTGCAGCACTGCCAGAGGAGAATGAATACAAGCGTGGGCCCCTCATCTTGCAACTACTCATTGAGAGGGGGGCCGACGTGGATGCACGCAACAAGAGAGGAGAGACGGCGTTGCACATTGCCGTACGCTTCCACCGAAAGCTCGCAGCTAGAACCCTGGTCAAGGGGGGAGCCAACGTTGATGCCAGAAATTGCGAGTTCCAAAGCCTGCTCGAGGTGTGCGACGAAAAGATGCAGTCTGAGCCTCAGGCGTATTCCAAATACTTGGCATGCCGAGGGTGGTTGAGCGGCGCGGCTCATGCGGTGCAGTCTCCCACTTTTTGGCAGGAGTGGGAGGTCAAGAACCGCGTGCTCGTTGAATGATGGTAGATGCTCCAGCTTCTATCTTTTGGCGTTGGTGGTCTTTTTTTTTGGTTATTCCACTCTTTTCTTCTTTTAAAGTAATCTTTTTGCTTCTTTTGTTATTATTTTCCTCTCTTTCTATTTTGATTGCTTCGATGACGGTGGTTTGGAGGGCGATTTACATACGACACAGGGCTCGCGCCTTTGCATTGGAGGCTTTCTGTTTTCTTTCTTGGATGGAGCATAGGATACACAACGATAGAACGGAGGATGCTTAGCCATAGACTATTTGGATAGACTTTGCATGGAGGAAGCTTGAGGATTGATGGAGAATATTGGCCAGACGGCGTTCATGATGTCGACGGACAGGCCTAGTATAGGTACGTTATGATGAATCTGGCGGAAACTTTACTTCCTCTCCTGCTTTTCTTTCTCTTAACGTTACACTTGCTAACAACCCGTTTTTCCATCTACAGGTCTTCTCAAAGAACGAAATACTCCGGCTTAGCAAAGGCCCCATATGCCACCTCTTGGTACCGGTCTTTACTTGGCAATGTCGATTTTAGCTTCTTTATTAACTGCGTCATCTGCGCCGAGGATTTGAGAAAGATATTGGACAATAGCTACAACACATTTTTTTTTAAGTAGCTTATGAGCGACGTAGCTTGCGGGCTCGGCGAACATTCTCCAGTATCTTTTTTAGATCCTCTGCGCGGATGACGCAGTTTATAAAGAAGCTGGAATTAAAGCTGGGGTGACTTTGGTTCTGGGGTGGCTGGGTGTCGTTTGAGATGTAGGTCAAGTGAGAGCTGGGTACATGGGAGGTGTGTTCCCATGCGTTTTCGTTTGGGATTCCGATATTCAGTAGCTAGTCTAGCGAAATAGACGTTGAATTGAAGAGTAACGCCTTTATAATATTTTCCCAGTTAGCATGCAATGTTTAGGGATGTTGGAGTGAAATCTGTCATCAAGCCTTGCTATAGCCTGGTCTTCTCATGTAAAAATTGGGGAAGATGCTCCAATCGCTAGCCGCCACTATGAGATCCTGGAGGTTTCCTCCTCTTGTCAAATGCGTAAATCACGGCGTTTTCTGATGGCGAATAAAGGAAGCGGGTGTGTCTGCATATGTAAATGGTAGGTATGGATGAATCTGCTAGGAGTATTGGATGCATATATAGACAATCAGGAAACGTAAATAATTTTATCCCCAGGTGGTATCATGTGTGTTCTTATACTTGGCGATTTGCAGTCTCAAAGATTTTGGACACCACTTGATGGTTTAGTCTGGGTGATGTTGAGTATAATGCGAGCAGGCAAGTCTGATTACATATGGGATAGGTGTGTATTGCTTATGCAGATGCATCATATGTGCATTTGTCATCGCCTTTGCGTCCATATGTAGGATAACTTTTGATGCGGATTGCGCGTCCTGAGTCTATGTCGCTACTACATGTATCCAGCAAAGTCAGCTACGAGTGAGATACCATTGAGACATTATGTTTCCAGGGTCATTTTCGACAGACGAATATCGTTCTTTGGGCGGAATTCCGATAGCGATTGCCGAGCGGCATGCGTTGGAGATGACGGCTCATCCCTTGTTCGCCCACTTTTGTCCCGGCTCTCGCAATGAGCACAGATCAGCCATCAGCCACGTCACAGGAGTTTCCTTCCCAGTTAGGCAGCAGTGAGCAGCGTGATTGGCTGCATGCTCTGGTTTGTGAGGCGTTTTGCTAAGTGACGTTGGTGGAGTCTGTTTTCGATAGTCTGCTGGACTATTAGGTAGTTTATTTCTACGTCTTGCTTCGGGCGTCTGTGCGAAGTCAAGCCATGTCTTAATGGCTTCTCGGGGTATCTAGCGGGGTAGTATTTAGCAAAGAAAACTATTTATTGTCCAGTTTTCTGAGACGCTGTCTGTGTGACTTGAATTCGTTGGGGGCGAGTGAGCCTTTGCTGCTTTTGTAGCTTTGAGCCGATTGGTTTGGTCACCAACTACTTCGTTCCCGAATTAGAACAATTCTTAACACGGGGATCTAAGCATGCCCCAGTAAGTATCTTTTCAATGTCATGACTTCATATCGCACGTTTAATGGGTATTCACCGGACCTGATACTGCGTATGGTAATTGAGGCGCGCCGAAGGAATGCTTTCTGGATAGTTGACTGGAATGCAACTCAGCCTCCTCTCTAGCTAGCAGAGAGCCCACTTCTATTAGTCTCCCGTAGCACGAAGCAAGTCTCGGGTTGACATTCGGAGCGTTTGAGGGACCAAGCCACCCGTAGGAGCGCATTGCTTCTAGAAGGGTTGTCTCTGACGTTGCCAATGTCAGACCAACCGCTGAATCCTTCCTCAGGCACCCGCTTTCCTCGGTTTGGCATGTGCTTATAGGCAGTTCTGGAGGCTGACGATACGCCAAAACGCAGAGTGGTTGAACTTGCCGCTCCGGTGATGACCAGCTTACACGTGGGTGCCAATCGCAGGCCTTATTTTGGATGAGGCTGAGACGGAGCTATTTGAAGCATCCGCAACGGGTAAAACCTACGCCTTACTAAATGATGTTACGTCTATAATTGCAGCTAGACGGACCGTAGTTGTGAGTTATGGCCGCGTGTGCAGACGGCATTGGCTGAATTGAACCGAGAAGCAAGGCTACCAACCAACCACATGGGCGCTAGCTTCAACTGCGCATCGCTGGTATGACCTACATCGGAAAGCAATAACATCACAAGTCGTCATTGCAACAAGAGCCTCAAAAGAGCAAAAAAGAAAAAGAAAAATGGAATAGAACTTCCAAAAATGAAATCTGAATGCGTAATCTGGGAATCGAACCCAGGGCTCCCCGACGTTGCGGATGGCAACGGAGAATTTTACCACTAAACCAATTACGCTTGAACAATTGTTGAAGATCGACGGCGATATTTAGTTCTATGGAGTATGTGGAGTCTGAGTTAGATGAGCTCAGTGTAGAATGTTTGTTTGTTCTCTACTTCATGTTGTCATTTAGAAGGCTGAGTATGTCAATTTCGCAAGTGATTCCGTCTTCTTGGTTAGCTGCCAATTTGGGTAGTGAATCTGGAAGTTTTGTCTCATTGGCTAGTAATATGAGGCTCTCGAGGGCCTAGAGAATTCCAAATTCCCCATTCCCCAATTCTCCTACTTGCTCGTGTATGCACTCCGGTCCGTCGCCTTGGTCCTGCGTATGCCGGTCTGGGCGGTCAAATCAAATGCAATTAGGAAAGGTATTTCACTCAGGGGAAAGATGCGGGGGCCAACAGGTACAGGGAACTCTTAATCATTAACAATCTGCGGTAATTCTGATCTCCATGTACAGCACTCAGCTCATCGCTATGGACACTTCACACCCACCCTCATGTAGGTCAGATCCTATCCTCCAATCCAACATCCGCGGTGGGCCCCAGTTGAGCCTCATCTCATAAACATTTGCTCAGCTCGTCCCCACAAATAGCTACCATTCTTAGCAATTGCCTGCTCCTTCTTCACTTTAGTACCACCAGAGTACGGCTTGGGGGCTCCAAAAAGGCTACCTAGCCTCCAAGGGGAAGTTACAGAGAACTTATTTCGTTCGATTGTGCATCTCGAATCCCGCGCATCACGGCAAAGCCGAAGGTTGTTACCCAAGCACTGCCGGTCTTCCCTTGGCAGACACAACCTGAGTATTGGTGTCTGGGTGATTTGTCTACATGCATAGTAACCCAAAATCTTGTGGATATTGCATTGATATTGTATTACTGGTGTGGCGGCCTGTTGGCCGAGCTGAACTGCTGGTTGAAGGCATCAATTGTGGCAGATGCGCGGGCTTCCGATTGTGCTATAGCCTTAGCCTCTGTTGGGCCACAGCTCGAAGGGGTGGGTACGGATCGATCGTTTCCGCTAACAAAGCGGTCTAGATTGTAAGTTGGATTGCTGGGGATGTTGTGGAAGGTGGCAGTCTGAGCACCGCGAGTGGAATCATCCCTGTATAGGTAGTCTCATGAGTATATGCCATGTATATACTAGGACATGAGCAATATTGTAGCCATTTGGGATGAGGAAGATGTATATCTAGCTCAATGAACAGAAAGGAGAATGCTAAACAAAGTAAAAAAGGATAGCATCCTTTGAACTAAGCTTACCTGGAGCCGTTGTACACGGCGTCGCGTGAAGACATTATGAAAATGAGCTATACAATCGTTGTGACAAGTGAATTTTGATAGATTCTATGAGATATACTGCAGTCTATAATTCAGTATAGAGACGACAAAGAACTATGTCAAGCAATGGATAAGATGAGTCAACACGAGTTGGTAGTTGGGGATCAAGGGGTGTTTTGTATTCCCCAATGGAGCTCTCTAGAGCACCATTTAAAACACCATAGGGGCCAGGCCAGGCATACTACAAGGAGGTCTTCAGGATCAATACCATAGCAAGCCATTCTTCCGGGCTGTTTTTCATTACGGAGCATACTTACTTGATGCGGAAGCCGCAGCCCTGCTCCATGATGGGTCCTGAGCGTTTGGACAATTGCCAATGAAACAAGTTGTGACCTTGTGCTCGAAACCTATACTTCAAACGAAGTGCCTTCGGAGCACGGCACCCAGGTTACAAAAGATCACTATCCGGCCGGGATGGTGCCGAGACTGACATCCTAACGTCGGACCCGGCCGCTTGGTGAGGCTGTATAACACAATGAAATTGAGTGTAGGTTGCCAACTAGCTCGTAACTATGCGCTGCATTCCGTATGGCGCTTGTCGAGCCACGTAGCGTCAAGTAGCATTGGCTGGTTAGAGAGTCGGGAGTTTGGTGATCTACGCACCTTGACATACATGTAAATTCCATGCTCTTCACCGTCTTTTTGAGCGAAAAAGTGCCAACAGACCGGCCGATCTGGTGGGTGACGTCGATGCTTGCCGATGTAAGTGGCGGTGATAGGTCGTCATGTTCCATTGAGGCTTTTACTCTAACAACTATACTAGGAACATTTAATGTTCTGGAACGGCGTTTATATTTCTCAATCCAAATCCTAATGTACTCTATTTTTGTATTCCCCTGCGCTAATGTTTGGGCCTCGCGTGTATAAGGCATTGATGTTACCCAACCATTCCTGTTTACCTGTGCATTCGGTCGGCAAACCTACCTATGGCCTTGATTTAGACATTCAAGCGCGAGAGTGATCATATACATGAAGGATCCGGACAGTTATGTGAGACTCAAGATCTAAAAAAATGCAATTAAGAAGGGAGCTAATGCACGGGGTAGCCTGTATGGATCAATAAATGGCCCCGGGTCCTTCTGATATGTGCCGCAGCTTACACGGAGACGATGTGAATACATGTAGGCTATGGAGGCTAGAAACAAGTTGCCCAAACGAGCGACCGAGAGAAATTATGGATATGAGTGTTAATGCTAATGGGCAGCAGGTTAATTCTAATACTACTGCGTTAAAATAAATAATTAAGTCGTTGGGTAGCAGAAACGCCGTCTTGGTCTTGGGCCGCGCATCCTACCTATGTTGGTGAAGTTCGCCGAAACTCCTCACGAAAATCTCTTACAACAAACGCGGCCAAGTACTTCCACCCCAGCGTACATATGACTGACAAACAAGATGTATACTCCAATCATCTTTTAGGCATCACTTTTTTCTGGCTATCTAAGTGGCCGAAAGTTCGTTACCACCGCGAGAATGCCGGATGTCAGCTCGGCTCTCGCTAGTATGGTTGATGGTTGCATAGTGACGACCCAACGTTACCAGCCTCTGCAGGGAGAAATTACGTGCGGCTGTATAATAACAGGGCAATTGAGAAATTTTATTGGACGACCCGTCTAATATCAGGATTGGAGTGCGTGCACGAAAAAAGGTGCGGTTCGGACTGACCGAGTACGTAAATCGCTGTTAAGCCACCCGCCTGATGCTGTTTCGTCCGACATCTCTTACCGCCGTGCATGCATATGCAAGGGAGATTTAAGTAGGGAGCACTCGGTGAAGAAAACCAACTTTGAGTGATGTATTGACTGCTTCATATCACAATACGCTTCTAGAATCATGTCGAGCCTTAAACTAGTTAATAACAACACTAAAGACAGAGAAGCGATGGGAGGGTGGATCTAATATCTGGCAGAGGACCTGTGTTGCACATTGACCATTATATTTGAAGGAAATGCAAAGTTACTTTAACAAGCTTGAAACATTTTAAGTGCGGCAGAAACTCGCAAATATTATGACAAGGAAATGAAACAAACAAAGCAGAACAACAAGGGTACTATAAATGTTAGCATTGGGTTCACATCCCCTTGAATAACAGAGACCAGTTGGAAGAGACTTCATAAGAACGAATGCCAACAATGTTTAGATTTAGCAAAGGGAGTTAATTAATTGCAACTGTTGAACTGATCGGGATCGCTTGTTTTGCACAAGTGTTATGCCGCTCAAGATTAGTCCACAAATCACGACGGGCTAGGGTTTCGGAGAACGTCAAGACGTCGAGGGGTGCCTTTGTGGCCCTGTAAAGACAATGGCATCCTATGGCAAAAGAGCCCAAGACTTTTTCGGTCCGTGTGTGCATCCAGGCAGTGATGTCGCTTTGGTGGAGTGGAGCAAATCTATCAACTGGTTTTCATTGTCTTTGCCTACTTTTACGCGCAGTTCGAGATAAACGAGCACAAAAACGAGGCCTCGGAGTAGCTTCAAAGCAATTGAAGAGTCGTAAAGCGAGCGGAGATACGATTGCCAGTAAGGATTTGAGGCAACAGGCAGCCGGATTTGCTTGCAGTTATAACTTTGAACCGTGATGGGGTCGGTCGCGTCCACAGGTTGGGCTCATCAGGCACAGAAGAGGCATATGCTTGCCTTAAATTGCGCAATACTTACGTGGCAGCTAGGGAGAGGCTTGCTGTACTAAGGGTGGATGGAATAACACCTCTTTTGCTGCACGGCTTCTATGATAAATACGGATGCTGCTTGGAGGGCACATTTCGCCATGAGATATCAGCCATGATTTCGAACATGGAGTGCTGAAATACTCTCTCCTTACCAATGAAATTTACCCTCTTAGCCGTAGAGGTTGTCTGCAAGAGGTCTCGTGACCTTTTGCGCGTTTTACCCCTCGCGAGGCTGGGAGTCATGAAGATAAGAGCAACGGGAGATATTGGCTCTTCACAGCACTCAAAATAATGGGTAGGAATAAAACAAATCAATGGTTAAATAGATTTGAACTGCAAGAGTCTAGCGGCTGAAGCAAAAACCTGAAAACTTGGTACTTTTGGCGGGTTTCTTGAAGATCCCGGTCTGCTAGGGTCATGTCTTCCGAAGCGGGGTGCATGCAACTGTTCATCTTCATCATTTTTTATTACATCACGGCAAAGAGACGAGACCATAATTAGGCACAAATACTAGTTTTCTCTCGTAAGTAGATTATTTCCTCTATATCTTCCCCTCACTCGCTGTGTTATACATGTGAACACACATCTCGTTGCTATGGAGTCGCTATTGAATCTCCTTGGAAGGAAATGCCTCTTCACTACTGAATTACAAGGGTAGGGAATGGAACAGCAAACTACACGACTTAGGCCCAGATGGCGCGGCGATTCCGGGTGTGGCCGGTACTTTGGGGTCATCATGTGGTTGAGACGGGCAGCCTTGATCGACATTCCTACGTTAATACGCTGTGGCATATACAATACAACTGCGCCTTACGAATAGCTTGAATCACACCGCCAGATGGACTTTGATGCTTGGATGGTTCGCGCCTCGTCACGATGTATACGTTTCTCTTAGCTTCCCGCGAAGATACAGCATGACCATCCCTGATTGAAACCGGCAGTAGGCGGAGGAAGACAAGGGCGCTCTCCATTGCATTGGTACGTCACAGGAGGTTACTAAAATAAGGCAAAGTGGCCTGATACTTGAAATAGCGAGCCTGACCTGTTGCCTTTTTATTAGTGCATTATAACCGAGGAACTCGACGATGGTCCTTTCAGCTTTGAGCAAGGCAAGGGCCACAGAAAATGGTGGCGTAGGGTCGATGGGTATTCTCTATAGTGTGCGTGTCATGGAGCTCAGAAAAGAGTAGCTGGGCGATTCGACAGGCAACTCGAAAGGCAGCCCGCAGAGACGAAGAGGCCTCTCCTATCCACCGCCGTTGCAACCGATCGACCACATGTTTGACGAATTATGCTAGTCTGGACCTAGGCAGATTCTAGGGAGGCCTTCAGGTCAACAGTTGGGTATTGAAATGCCGGTGGAGCCTTTGCTAGCTCATCCTTCAGTCTAAGACTTGAAGCCCCTGAACTGGGAAACCTGGCTAGGCATACGCCTCTGATGGAGGCCCAGCATGATTGGAAGTCTACCTTAAGTGGCTGGAATTCAACAAAAATCCTCTGAAATTCATATGGACGCACCGCGCTCTGATGAGCGTTTGGGGAGGTGCTTCAGTGGGTGACGTCTCATAGCGCCATCTCTCAGTCTTCACCCCTTTTATACAATAGCGAGCAGATTGAGGCTGAATACATATTGCATTTTGTCCTACTTAGGCTGGCTGGTCGTGGCTCTGCTCATATACAGTTTCTGAAGCTTCGATGTTTACAAGAAAAGGGAAAAAAACACATGGCTAACTGCCTGGCTAAAGAAGCGGGATTACCGTGGCGTAATCGGCGCGCCTCCTGGCAAGCTAGGTACTTGCGATAGGAGTAAAACAGATGACAAGAGTTGCCTCGTTTCTTGACGAAATAGTAAGGAAATTAGAGGTCACGACATTGCATTTTGTTCAACATCAATGTTTATTAAACTTATCTTCTATGATTAGACACTGAATTTAGGTTTGCAAGAATCCTCTTCCCATGTTTCTTAGCTTAGTGCCAGTTCTGCGAATATCGTTATTCGCGAAGTCTTCTAGGCGGACATTGCTACTTGGAAAGGGTACGACGATCTGGCTGTGTTATTGCTTGGCCTTGGCCATCCGATCCGCCCATACTTGGTCAAGCATAATTCAGCTACACAGCCGCCGGTGTGTCGGCGGATTGGATCGTTCCTTACATACCTGAGATATAGCAGCAGCTTAAATATGGAGATCGTAAGACTGGTCCACAGGAAAAATGTACTCCTATGGCCGGTATACTTGGGGCATAGTGCCATTGGGCAAGATCACCACTCCTCGTCTGCCTATTGCAGAGCTTTTCGAGGGCCCGAATCAGGCCAATATGTGATAGGTGGCATGCTCTCATAGTAGAAGGGTTTCGGAACGTCGCTACTGTGGCCGTGCCGCCGCCTGTGGCCCATCTGCTGCTCGCATCGGTAAATTGCGAGCCCTGCTGATTCTTGGTCACAAGGTTTTGCACGATATGACCCTTCTTGCCGTACTCAAACCAGCCTTTGGCCAGTGTCATTCATTGAGAGAGCACACGCCTAGTCGGTCGCTGTGGGACTAGAGAACACTGCTAATTGGATGATTAGAGAAACGGACCGGCTACGCCCTTATCCGCGTTCTCTGGTACGTCCTGTCACGATAAGCTAGCCGTAAAGAACAAAATTTTTGTAGGGACAATTGGACAATGCTGTCAACAACGCCAAGAAAGAGAGGGGTTGTCATGGCTGCAATTTTGCTGGAGCGCTTTTGCCACTGTGCGGTTGCTTGGAACAAGAAAAATTAAAAGGTTACTAACGGCAATGACTGCAATGGATTGACTTGAAAAAAAAAAGAAGCTTTAGAATATTTGGTCAACTGTTTGGGGATGAGGCTCAAAATCTTCCCTGCTGCCCGACATCAATTAGATGGGTCCCCATTTAGGTAGTAATACTTACGACGGACCCCATCTGGAAACGACAGCTCAGCATACAGAACCAACGTACAATAAGGTGTGGCTCTGTGTTGAGGCTGAAACTCTTCGCCGATGCTTCCTTGAGGCGCTTGATACCCAGACAATGTGTGGTTGTTTTAGGGCTCAAGATCTTCAACCTGATCCCCATCTTGTACGCTGGTCTCACCGCTTACCTTACATACGTGTACCGCAGATCAGTGACACGCGTTGAAGACGTTCCGTGATGTCTTGGCAGATCAAAGGTGCTTGTTGGCATGCTCATACTACCGATTGAAGTTTAAGGGATTGACTAGCATCGGTTTGAGCTATGCTTCAAATGCTTTAGCGGATGCGGCTCTGCGGCACTGCGACTGAGGATCTGCGGATGACGAGGGCTTATTCTGATCTCTGCAGGGGCAATCCATGCTGGCCCATTCATGCGAACGCTAGCGCCGCTGACTCGAGCATCCCACCGGTCCGTGTTTCTTTGGGGTTGAAGGTCAGAATGGGCCCGTGTGAAGTTGAGAGAGTGTATCGGGAACTCCGACGCCGGATATTTATATGGAACCTCGGCGGCACATGGACTCCGGAAAATGGCCACCAAGCCGTAGAGTAGGGTAGTTGATAGGAGCCAGCGAGCTTGAGCTAACGAAGATTGGCACTTTGACGTGGCAGTAATATGGCTAAGAAGGTGGTCGTAGTTTCACAACTAGCCCATGAGACTCAATGAGGGTAAAGGCGGTCGGGAGAGGGCAGTTGGCGCGTCGCTAAGCACACGATATCACACCGCCATGGAACAGCGAAATCTAGTGGGTTGATTGCGACAGCTGTACGGGCTTGAAATTTCATCTTGCATGTTCTTGTACTTGGCTTTCGTAGGGTGGCATATGGATGACACCAGTGGAGACGGAGGAACTTTCTAGGGAGCCTTTGAGACGTCAACATGTAATGATGGATATGCGGAAATGAATGCGGTGGATGAGCATCGAATGGGATATCATAGGGTGGAGGCATCTATAAGGAGCACGAGAAGGATGTTGCTGTATCCAAAGAGTTAGGCCTGAGTGAGGCTTGAATGCGGCTCCTCCGATGAGCACATCTCTTATAAAGATCTACAAAGCGTCTCGGTAACTGTTTCTGTTTGAATTCCTGGATATATAAGTTGTATTCACTGCCACACGTGAATGACAGCATGAGCCACGACAACTGGTGTGTTAATCTATTGGTGTGGCTAAGTCTTAATAGCTTCATATACCTAAGTTATTACATATTACAGTGGCTATTCGATTTGGTGCTACGGATGTCCGCCTTAGTACTTCACTACATACCCCACAACGACCCAAGGCACTATACACGAGATTGATACTCCTTGGGTACCAAATACAAGCAGCAGCCAATAAGTTTCCACCGTGGAACGTGTAGTTGAAAAACGCCTAGATAGGTACTCTTAGTAAGTCTACATGGCAACGTGAAAGTGGCCTGATGTGCGCCACCGGCGGCAAGGCTGCCTTCAATTAGATGAGGGGACTCAGTGGGAGAGAATCTGATACAAGGTGGGATGTCATTCATTCTTTGTAATTGGAGCTTACGTTATCTAACTCGTTATCCCCTCGAAATTCCATGCGGTCAATCAACGTCCCTTAGCATCACTTCAAACCTCATGTCCACACAACATTGACTTGGCGCTTCACCTTGAATCTCATCAACTTCCCCATACATGGCCTATTGAAACGATCATCTAGTGCAATTCCCGTATGCGTAGACATCGTTTCACAAAACACTGCATCACTGCTTAGGAGGAGGAGGAAGATTGCTACTTGGGCCAAGAACTGCAACAACCGCGTCCACTTGAGCCTTCACACGAGCTTTCGCTTCCTCCTCACTCTCGATTTTCCTGAAGCCAAGTGGCGGACGCTCAGTGGCTATTTGTGGGTGGGTGAGGAAGCATTTCATGCTGTGCTCGTGGTCTTCGGGTACTTGTTCGAGAAGAGAGGCGGTAAGGCTAGGGGCGCTGTCAGAATTCGCACTGGTGGATTGGTCATTATCCGAGTCTTGGTGGCGTTTGAATATGGGCACAGCTGGAGGTAAACCTGGTACGATACAGGGTGTGTCACTGCCTAGTACTACGTAGGTAGTTGAGAGGAAAGATAGGTGAATGGGCAAGCCGGACAAGAAAAATCTGTCGACACAACAAAAAGGCTGTAAAAACTGGCAGGGAGAGATACATGGCATCTTCTACGCCCACAAAAGGGTCAATGTGATTATTAGGAAACTCCAAGGGAGTAAAGAGAATGAAAATTGGACGAATACATACGTGTTTTCAGGTTTGTGCGTGGCACTATTGTGGGAAGACATCTTTGGCATCGATGTCTGCCAAGTGAATGACGACTTGGTTGCGGTGATTACAGAGGAACTTTGGCCAACAAATGTCGGGACAAAGCATTATATACACAGTGAGAGACGATGAGGGGACAAAAGTTGGCTTACCGCATATTGAGCCAATCGCCACATGCTTGAGTTGTTGGAGCGAATCCTGAAGCGCCGGCAAGGGCAAGTAAGGCAGTTTTCTCGCGAGGGGTGTTGTAGTAACTCTGCTGTGCTTTGCTGTATTTCCCAGCGCCAGACGTGTTTCCATTCGTCCAATCTCAAGAGGCAACGGGGGGGCTTATACACATGATAATTGCTGCTCCATTAGGGGGCGCCGTGGAATTATTCCTTTGCCTGAGGTGGGAGGAACCTGCGTATGACAGGTATCATGAGAAAACTTTCGCGGACGGGCCGACGCAGTAAAAGTCCATGTACTCGACAGTCCAGGTCCAACCATTGTCCTGCAGACTGGATTCATTTTAACTCACATGCTGAGAGCTGGGTGTGTATGAGTATTTCTACCTGTCGCCGCCTTTTGACTAGGCTGTTTTGCCTACTCCATTCATCCAGTCGCCTGCTTTTTTGGTACCCAGGGCGCGCATAAATTTCCAGTCTTCTGCATTGGTGCCCAAATTAAGGCATACCGCGCTTCGGCGATATTTCATACATTGGCGGCGGGGAATAAAGCCGCTTTTAATGCGCGCGTGCCGTCGAGGCAATACGGATAATGATGCTGTTATGGGCGGCGGGAAAGAACGCGGGTCCTGGATTGGGTGAAGTTACGAGATGGTCAAGATTGAGGTGAAGAGTATAAAACTCTCTCGAGAAGTTGAGAGAAGACAGCCTAACTGTGGTGGGCCTAAATGCCCGAATCCCGGGACTTGATGAGAATCCCGCCATGGCCGTGTGACATGAGTTGCCTTTTTGTACCTACGAAGCAACTACATAAGTTATTCATTCCATTACGAACTCTCAAAATTTGGGTTAGCTTGAAATTAGGCGTACGATTGAAGAGCCTTACGCTTTGCGTCTTTGATGTAGGTGGATGTTCCCGATTGGCTGTAGCTTAGCTTGTGTGTGAAGGATGCTATATCCCGTCCCGTCCCTACTATGCACATGAAGGATCTAGCCCAGCACCCCTATTTGAGAGCATCATAATCTGGCACGCCTTCCAAGCACATGTATCTGAAATAAATACAATGCAATAGGCAAATCTGGAGTTTCCAAACAACAAACTCATGACTTATGGCGCGGGGTTGTGTAAGCTGAGGAATCTATAGGCCAGAGAAGGCAACCCCAAAGATCCCCTGGTCGCAGTCACATATCAACAACACTAAGCAGAGACCTACAGTAGTACAGATGTAATATAATTCCTACAGGTCATTTAAACCACGTGTTGCTGATGTGATTTGGGGTACATGCGCGCTTCGTTCGTCGAATCGCGCGCAACGCGCACTTACGCGGCGCAAACCTTTTGCGCAAGTGGCATATGAGTGGCCATGTGTCTTAACCAATGATCCTTCGAATATTAACTGCCTATTGATAAGTGCATTGTAATCTGCTGAAAGAGAAATGGTGTGTGTGGGTGGCTTTCTCCCTTGCGTATGCAACCTCCAACGTTCGGGCGATCGCCTTTCGGGGTAAGGCAGATGTGCGTAAATACATCCTCATACATCTGTGTCCAATTATATCTCGGTTCATGCTATGAATCGCAGTGCAACGATTCACAAGCCCCGCCGCAGCGGAGCTCGAAAGCCGGTAGAGGCATGTATGTATATGCATGTATGGTAGACGTCAACACGTGGCGATTAGAAACGATGACCTATCATCTGGGTCCGATTACTACGTAAAGAATACTGTGACTATAATAGTATACTTAGACAGATGCTTTGCATAATGCAAACCCTGACATGCCCCGTTAATGTGTCATTCGTGCTGGCCGAGTGGCGGTGAGATATTTCTTGCGCGACTATCCTACGGCAGTTAGCCTTAGGGGCAAATGATGAGCTTTGCAAAACCTTAAAATCTGCTTTAATTTGAAACGTTTAATGTTTTATGATACACAGTTCTTAGAGCTTGGAGAGGTTCGCCTATCGGCGCCGTAACAGCAAGGACAGGTTTTAACAGGAGTCGCTCAAGTTTCCCCAAGAAAGAGGCGATTGCTAGGATTCCCATATTGACGATTTTACTTTTTAGACTTAAGTCCCACGGTATCCATATATATGCATTTTGCATGACTCGGTGCTTGTCTCAGTTTGGCAACATACCCCAACGTCATGCGTACGAAGGGTTAGGTGTTTTACTGCATCCTTGATCTACTCAATAACTAAAAATACAAAGCGTTCGCTTGTGTTATTCCAATTGTAAGCCTTTCATTTCTTTCTTCTCGCAAAGAAAACAATTACAAACATATTTCTCGTAATTTTTAATTTGGTGAAATCTTCCATAACTGCGCTCATGTAACCTGCGGTGAGCAGATTTCCTAACTTGAAAGCTTCATCTACTTGTTATCTTAATACATTCGCGTATTACATGCACACTATAGCTTATTAGGCTCAGCAAAACAATTCTCTTGTTATTGTTTGCTATACATAAACGAAATATTTACCGTGGATACAGCGGCAGTATGTCTCATCCGTAGAAGGAGAGCCTATGGAAAGAGACGAAGAAAAATCACCAAGTCTTTCTGTATCCGAGGTTTCCTACCAATTTCCATTCATCAAGAATTTTGCCGCTAGAGTAAAACTGCGTCAAACATGTCTAATAAGGCCCTCGTATTCTTCTCCGCTTCGGCCGAGCTTGGAGCTCGTCCAAGTTTATGTTGCTGTGAGTGTTCATCGGCCGATTTTGAGACAGCCTAAGAAGCGATCGATGCTGTATGTAATATCATGGGGGGCGCAGAGGGAGATGGTAGATTGAGTTCCATTGGCAACTGCTGGTAGGGATTTATTCTCTCCATCAGAGTAGAAGTATTAGCAAAAATTGAACCAATTTTTATACTGAAGAACTGACCAGTGGATGCTTAGTGGATTGTTAATGCTTCTTTTATACAAATGTATATGAAGAAATTGTCTCTTTCAGGTTCAAAGGTTTCACTATGCACTAAGCAAAAAGATTTTTTTTTTTTGAAGTACATACAAATGGCTGCTATAGATGGCGGCAGTGAAAGAAGGGAGTATCTTGTATATATATTCTTATTAAGGAATGGAATAACCCAGAGTTGTGGCGACAGATACGACGATTAAACGGTAAACGATCCGCCATTTAAAAAGGGTGACGGTAGATAGTGAGACAGTGATGAACACTAGAGAAGGCTAATGAGCATATTACGTCAAAAAAGATGGGTCGAGAGCCTCAATTTGAGGAGCTGTTTAGCCTGCCATATTTTGGGCATATCCACCACCTCTCTGAACTTGACCGTTGAGTCTTTTCCCTATATAATGCAAGTAGACGTCATGTTGAGCAAGGAAGTTTCACCTATAGTGTGGCGGGCACAGCTCTTGATGGCCCAGAGTGCTTCTGAGGGAATGAATTATGTGCAATTGAGACATGCATCAAGATGTGAACCCCTATCAAACCAATGCTGTCTTAAGATGGATAGAATATTATACATGATTTATCCATTAAGTGAGAGCATCTGATGTTAATGCCAGACTGGACTTGATTACTATTGAGGACTGTTCCATAATGAACATGATATTTCTTCATTAAGTTTGGGGAGTCCTTGTAAGATTATTTTGGTGAAGTTCTACTCAGGTGCATTAAGGAGGAGCAGTGGTCTCATTCAGGTCAACCCAAGATCAAGATTCATCTTACTGGTGTAGATGTATACAATACATACGACAAGCAGTTAGCAGGTGCTATAGTCGATGAGTGGAAGGTGTGAATACCTGTATATAGCTTGGAGTAGGTAAATACATATAGTTAGGTGTGGTACTAAGTACTCGAGTGCAAGCTACTAGCGAGGATTCATTGCACAGTGAAAAAGCAGTGACCCTAATCCCGACCCGAAATGAGCGTGCAAATGCCTCTATTTTCAATCAACATAGTCTCACAATGATATTGGCCTCGTAAATCTATACCTTGCAACGATTTTATTAATTTGGTGGTCCAGAGTAGGTGCGACGGGAGCTAATTTGGCTTCCGTCGTCTCCAGGGCTAACACATCGTGGGACTGTCGTGGCGCACGTGTGGCTGCTACCAAACCGCTGTGGAGCAAGCGACAGGCCGTGTAGTGGACAAGTTAATTCACCGGTGATCTTTCAATTGTCGCTTCAAGGCAGTGTCATCTGGACTCGGCTGGAAAGGAATTTCACAATCTCTACTTAACGCAGAGAACAGAAAATAATGAAACAAAATAAAATATAAAGTGTAAATACAAATGAAACCGCCTGCTTTCTTGATATTTCGTGTGTTCTCTGAACTTGACATTCTCTTCAGTGAAACGTGTAAGAAGCCGATGATGCCAATATCTGTGACCAGCGATTTGCATATTTTTGAAGCCTCGAATTAACTACTCGAAGGCTTGCCACTCGGGCCAAACTGTTGCTCGAAAGCGTGCAGCTCTGCCGTCATCCTGGCTTCAGCAAAGACTTTTACTTCAGCTGGAGACTGGACCTTGCCGAATACAGGGTGGTATTGCTGCTGATCCGCAAGGAAGCGGACGATGCCATAGCTATGGCTGGAGCTATCCTTGGTGGCATGTGGTTTGGTGTTACTACATGTACGTAAGCATATATACTTCAGTTATATGCGCCTATATACCTTCAACTGAAGACAGATAAATGCATATTCCTATTAATGGCATATAACTAAAAACTGAAAAATGGAAGAAAGAAGATAGTAATTGAACTATTTGGAATAATCTTGAGTGTGACCTACTTATTGCTGCTACTATTATAAGCGGCTTGAGAAGGAGAGATCGGCATTTTTGGATAGATAACGCCCAATGTCTGATGCAGATGTCTAAGGAATAGAGAGATGGTTGGCCGACAGAAGTTATCCTACGGAAGGCGAACAGACAGATAAGATTATATACCCGCTTGCAAAGTGGTGATATTGGGGCCCGAATTGTCGCAAAAAGGGCAAGGTGTTGGTCAATGGAAGCAATAGCGAATGCAATTGATCTACAACCATGGCAACTGGTAGGAGCATGAGCTTTATATATGAGAAATGCCAAATATATTGGAAGTTGAAGCTTATTGCGGAGGGCTTTTTCAACAGCCTGCCATTGATTGCAGGGACCAATACTTTTACTGCTTTCGCTCGTGAAACACTGACCGCCCATTATGTTAAACCCCACACTTAAGGGCTCTGCCCAATAACCATAGATGCCCCAGTCATTCGTGCATTCTATTGAATCCATCAGGCGGCAGGCCACTGCAACTCCTAACCGTGTTCAGCTCAGCATTAGTATCCGCCAGTAGCAGTTAGGCAAGTAATTCTATTCTACATCGGTTTATTAGAAATACGGGGGTCTTTTCATGGTTTCGTCAGTGAAATCGTTTGTAATCGTTTGCTCTTACTAAGATGCTTTGGTGCGCGAACCTGGAAGCTTGTATTTGGATGCGCAACCGAACAGATAATTTGCTAGCACCGCTAATGCCAGACCCCTAGCTTTGAAAAGAAAAAGAGAAAGTAGCAACAGAACAAAGATCGGCGGTTAACTCAAAGAGGTATCAGCTACAATGATATCCGCCATTCATATAGGCCTATAAGCTGCAGCTTAAGGTAATTGTTTCGAAAACCTGACAGCGATTTAATTCACCACAATGCCACCATGTTTGATGAGATGCGGCGCCCAAAAGTCCAGATACGTAGTGAACTCAACGGCGATATTCAATATTATATTCTATTTACGTAATCAGTTCTATAACATATGCGCGCGCTGCGGTGGAATCTGAAAGAACAATTGAAGTCTTTCAGCGATATCGCCATAGACAGGTTTACCAGCACCGCCCCAGCCTGTTAAACCGCCAACTTTGCCAAGCGCTAATGCCGTTAATACAACATGACCTGAAATATATGTAGCCAGATACTTGGAGGCATTCTCTAAAGTAAACACTGACTTCGATGTGATCCGTCGTTCAACTCCAGTACAGCACTTTATCTGCGCGAATGATTGGCACTTGAGCCGAATTGTTTATCGAATGCATCCAGACGAGCACGCATCGTGGCGATTTCTTTGGCTTCAGCTGTCGCGTAGTCCCGTACCAGCATAAATGCTACAGGCGGCCGTTCAGGATCAATATGGTCGGCTGTGCGGCCGAGAAAGCGATCGAGATTATATATAATAGCTTGGGGCTCTTTATTTCTAAAGCGCTTGTAAGTAAGTGTATACATGTAGGCGGGGCCACACATATGGACGTGTTGATTAGATGTCTAGCCTATCAGTGGAGGGGTATCTGGATGATATTCCCAGGGAATAACTTTGCAAAGACATATATCGTGTTAGTAATGAAAGGGGGGACAAAATGTAAATGTAACGGGTTACCTACTCATTATTGCCATTGTGATTAACCTGGGTAGAAGAGGGCGGCATGTTAGGTGAGTATTAAGGTTCTCTTAAGTGATACTTAATAGATGATGGATAGACAGAAAGACAGTAATTGAATCGAATAGACAAATAATTAGCCTAGAGAGCACTCTATATATTGCATGAGCAAACTGGCGATGGCCGCTAATATCCAGCTAAAGCATTGAGAGGAGAAGGCCTTTTTATAATGCAAATCGTAGAATGTATCTGCCCTCATTTTTGCGTACATTGAATATAGGTTGTGGTAGAAAGCGGTAATAGCATTCATGGATGGAATTGGAAGGCAACCTCGACGCCTTGGACAACAGGAGCTCAGCCATCCCACTGAGTGCCAGATGGTCTATCCGAAGTATCTTTCTAGGATAGTGGCCAATTAAATCGCCTCAATCCGAGAGTACATCAGCTGCCGCCAAAATTAGCTTCGAAGACAAGTCTCGAAATTTAGATCAGTACCTTGAGATACATAACATTAATGATCATTGCGGCGATCAGGCGACATTTTTACTAGCGGATAAAGTCCTTATATTGTATCCAGACCGTATAGAGACAAGGTGGATACAGGTACTTGGGTTGCAAAATGACGGCCAACTCTTTCTTTTGGAAACGATGATTGGCTGGCGCTGAAAGGTGCGGTATAAATAAGTGGAGCGACTTACAAATGCGAAGTGAGCCCAGGACGAAAAAAATGATGACGGCAGACATTACGATACTTCTGCGTGCGCCAGATTATCTCACTAACACAAGTACTGTGTGCCGGTCATGCGAGTTTGACGAGTTCCCCGAAGTCCATATTCATGCGCCGATCATTTCACCGAAGCCTTTCGCCTGGGCTCCCAAGTTCCAGCTTCGCGCACCCCCTGTCCAGTGCAGCGCCAGAGCCCGATCAGCCCGATTCCGCAGACTCGCAGCCGATCAGATGTGTTAGTTTCCAGGAACCGACAATCTCTCTTCAGCCCAGCTTCCTAAAAGAGCTTGACTAGGTAATACGAGTACAAAGCGCTGCACTGATTTTTGTTTCTCATCACCTGCATACTCAGTATAATTTTCCCCTTTTCCCTCGGCCGCCGCCCCATTTGGGTGGAAGTACTCTCAGACTTGCGTTTCCTACCTTGGGTGAAACGCCTGTGGCCGTCTCGTCCATGAATGCATGTAGTTCCTTCTGGTTAATGTCTGTTACATGGTGCTTACGTTGGCTTCGCCTGGACACTCATATTAGAATATCTAAGTTGAGAATGGAGAACTAGCAATAAATTTACTTCATCCTAGCCAACTCTCACCTCATAGCGGAACCCAAGAGGAAATCGATTGCACGTAGTTTTTTTAAGCTTCCATGTTCTAATGGGGACCGGCTGTTATAGCACGCGGTGGCAGCAATCTAGCGCTGTGGAGCATGGAAGCCACCGCCGCTTCATGGGGAAGTTCGTGATATGTACATGTGCTTTACTTGCGATCAACAATTGAACCAAATGGCAAGAAGAAAGGACGGATTCAATCGGGAGACTTGGGGGAAACCGAAAGCTAGATGGTATCTGGGGCCTCATATGGGAAGAAAGTTGTAATTCGGTAAAAGGAAATCAGGCACGGTACATCGCTGAAGCAGGCACTTGATGCGATCTTCATCTAAAAGAAACTAAGCAACGAGAATATTCCATTTAATAACAACATCGAATACAAAAAATAATTGAGGCTGCCTGATTCCAAAAAAATCCTCCCTTCTCCACCTTCTATTCTTTGCAAGAGCCCACTGATGCATTTGCGAACGGCAATTTGGTTGTTGCCGACTCCAGGTTAGTTGGCTGGCGGCTTGTTGCCAGAACCAAACTTCTGCTCGAACTCAAGTAGCTTAGTCATCATTTTCGCTTTGGCAGCAGCCTCTGCCTCTGCTGGAGATTGAGTTTTGCCGAATTCCGGGGGGCAGCGTTGTTCCTGATCGGCAAGGAAGCGATCGATGCCACAGCTGTGGCTACGGCTAGGGTGGCCGTTGACAGCGGGGTGTGGCTTGGTGTTACTGCGTCAGCATTTCATTAGCACCGTCCAGCCACCTAGCCGACATTTAAATGTCCCGCATGATAAATCCCTTAGGGTACATAGGTATTTAGGCATTACTCCATTTAGGTACCTAGGTATTGTCCTGTAACTAAACAAAGAATATCTCCAGCTAAATAGTAAAACCTACTTGCTACTACCATTGCATATCACACAAGTAGACGAGGACAACATATTGGGCACCTCAGGTAACTTGCAGTATCATATGGCGTTGATGGAATTAAATACAGCCACCGGGAGTAGATGGGTATATGTAGGTGGGCAGGGAGCGATGCCCGAGGGTATTAGTTGGTGGTTATTGCGAGAAGAACAGTGTCTACCTAGAAGAGCTGTGGTGGACACACGCTACTCTTCAATAGGTAGGAGTTCATAGATAGACGGGCGATGCCGCAAGAAGAACAGTGTCGACGAAAAAAAAATAGAGGCGAAAGGCCTGCTATTCTTTAATGCTTTAGGATAGATGGGCGTAGATATTTGTCAGAACTACCTAGTAGGTCATGTAGTTGTGGCAAGGCGGGCAGGGTCCAAAAAGAGCAGTAAGATCAACCCGCTGTTCCTTAAGGGTTCTGAGATTTTGGGCGTGAATGATTATCGGATTCTAGTTGTCGAAATAATAGCAGTGTCTAAGAAAACAACCTTGGAAGACCTTTTCTCCGGCCTTTTTCCATGGTCATCTACCTGGCAGCATAAAGCAAGTAGCTGGGCGGAGTATTACACTATTTATACTCCGTACTTTGATATGTAACACATTGAAGTTGGCTAGGGCGCGCACTTCGCCGACCCGCAGATGGGACACCCGAGAGTGCCTTTGTGGGGTGCCTGCCAGCCCCGCAAGGGGGACGGACGGGAGGATTAGCAGTGAAGAAATTTCGAACACACACGCCAAAATACGCGCATCTGGAAGTCATCAACGTTCGGTGTGATGGGTGCTCATATTTTGGACGAAGTGTACTTATTTTCTCTCGTTCTTGATTATCTCTCTTCCTGTTCCTCGGGCATGCACGCACGTCCAGGCACCTAAGTATGTATGGCATGGCGCATTACTCGCAATCTTCTTCTCTTCTAAAAAAAGTGGCAACTGTTCTAAAAACGAGGCAACCGCATTAGTGCGTTATATAGGTACTCTGACACATGCCTCGAAGAAGCGACGCTTTAATTAATGTCACATCAATCATTAGGTATGATTTGTAGCTTGTTGCAATTATTACAAAAGCCTGAAAACAACCAGAGTCACCACTATACCACTAGATTTGAGGTCCAGTATGTGATGGGTCTGCTCCTAAAAAACCATCGTGTTTTGTGGGGTCGACGGTGTTATTTAACTGTAGTTATGATTTTGAACTCGATTTGAGACTGGATTAACTTTTTGACAGATGCACCGCCGCGTTCAACTGAATTCCATATTTTTCCCTAGCAACATGTTACTAATAGATCAATAACACGCACTACATACAGCGTCATCACAACCTGTTACATCGGCTACTTCACTTAACCATGTGCACTCTTATTAGCGCATCTGCATAGGTAGGCGGAAATAATCGTTGAGCCAAACTCTTACCTCGTGTGTGGTCTTGTTAATTAAGTGCCATACGGCGACTTAGCTGTGCGAGTGATTGGCACTTTGATTGGCGCTTATGTGAAACTGCCGATCGAATGCATCTAAACGGGCACGCATTGCGGCGGTTTCTTCAGCTTCGGCTGTCGCCGTATCTCGCGGTCGCATAAATGCTATAGGTGGACGTTCATGATCGCCATGGCCATTTTGACCAAGAAAGCGATCAAGGTTATGTTCAATAGATTGAGGCTCTTTGTCTCTGGTAAAGCATGTGTAAGCAGGTGCACTGATCTGTTTTTACATGTAGGTCATCCCTGTGTATGGAGCTAAGAATATATATAACATTAATTGGCGACCGGAGAATCTGGTTAATTAACAGAGGGACAATCTAGCAGACATTCGCATACAACACATCATCTTTGCGATAATGCACGTATTTATTGCTGGTAATAAAAGGGAAGATTAAAAAGTATTTATGAGATTACTTACTCATTATTACAGTTCTGGACGGCTTGGGTAGAAGAGGACGGCATTATTAAACAAAGGTTCAAGGGCCTTTCAGCGATATATAACAGGCGATTGATGTATACAGGTACACAGGTAAGAATTGAATCGATGGGTAAAATAGCTTAGAGAGTACTCTGTATCAGGCATGAGACAACATAGCGATGACCGCTGATATTTAGATGAAGCACCGAGCGAGAGGACATTATTATATATGTGGTCAAGTTCAGATGGGAGCAGGATGAGAAAATCGGAATAATGGGAAGATTGAAGAAATCGGAATAATGGGAAGATTGGGAAGATTGAAGACGGAGGAGGTGGGGAGAGGCTGTTGCGACACAGCTGATGCGCAAGTACAGATACCTAGCCGTTGTGCTAACTTGAGGCAAGCCTGCAAGTACCGGCGCCCGGCCTGGCAACTTTGACCGTAGAAAGAAAGCGGTTTGGGATGAAACAGGTTGCCGGCGGAGAAAAAGCGCCATGGACCGCCAGTTCCAGGCTCAGCTCCGGACCCAGGTTGCGCCACTCCCTCCCAGCCGAGTGTTAACTCCGGAGTCTCTCACACTGGTTCGATGGCTTGAGATGGTGACCTGTGTCGTGGGTCCAGCTACTTCATCCTTGGGAGGGGGGCTTTGAGATAGGCGGCCAATAGAGGGGTGAAGTAACAAATTTGCGAGCCAAGCAGCTCAACCGGTAACCTGAACCGGTGCTTACACGTACCTAGTACTCTTGTGTGGGCTAGATCATCCCATCAACACCAGTACTGGACACCTCTCTGATGACATAGCTTTGTTACTTTTGAGGTCCACCTCTCTGCGTCGTCATTCTCCAGAAGGAAATCTTAGTGCGATTGCCTTTCTCGCCTATTCTTTTACTTCCTCTTTGGGTGGTGGCTTGGCAAGCTTGGATCTTGTGTCCGTTGGCTATCCAGAGGCAAAAGAGCGGAGGATTTGACTGCCCGGGATCCGGCAATCTCTCTTCAGCCCGGGCCCATGAACCGACTTAACTAGTATTAAGCACCGTAGTTCTGTTCTTGATCTCCTGCGTAGAGATACAACTTCTCGTTTCTTTTTTCCGCCGCCCCCCTTTTTGGTGCTGGTAATCACAGACTTGCGTTTCGCTGATAGAACACTTGTGCTCGCCTCGCCCATGTTAATGCCAAATTGCACTATAAGTCCGCTGACCGAATAGTGGCCCCCGCTAACCAATGCCTAGGTAATATTTGGGGCTTGCGTTGATATATGGTTTTCGCTTTGTGCGGGACGAATGGATGAAGGAAGTTATTTTGACTTATGTTTAGAGATTAGAAGAGAAACCCGATTGAGTATTCGCGCCTGGTATGACAGGTCCGTAGATACCGTCGCAGCGGATCATTTCTTGATCTTGTGCTTTAGTGTGTGTGGTGCTTGGGCGGGCTATTTTAATAGGTGCGCGTCCATTTACAACCCAACATCAACTCCATTGATGTAAGGCACTGTCTACATGTATAGGTACATAGCAAGGACGCGAACCACTGCACCGTACTGACCTGCCTACTAACCTGCACTTATCCATTGGTGTTATTTTTGATTTGATCGTGCTGTATTATGACTCGCAAAAGAGCAGAGGGAAAAAAAGGCAACCGCATTAGTGCGTTATGCGCCTCTTCTAAACCCCTCCTCCCAAACCAGCACACATCAAGGTTGCCTCAAAGAAGCAACTGCCTTTATTCTGTCGCATCAATAGACCTTTACGTAGACTGCGACTTGCGAAGATTATTTTGATGCTCGAAAATGGTCTAAACCTACCATTGAGCTGTCAGCTTTAGTATGTCACATCTGCTCTCAAAAGCTTGCATGTTTCATGCTTTGTGGAATTAGTGGTGTGTCATTTGGTGGCTAACTACATGTATACATAAGCAATGGAACTACATGTGAACTTCTGTTGGAGGACTAAGGCTGGACTGACCCCGTCCCCCTCTATGTTCGCCCCTTGGTTCCCCCGTCATCCAGTGACATGTGTATTTACTCACATCTCAACACCACGCACCACTTGCAGCATTATCACAACCTGCCTCATCCAAACACGCGCTATCATTGTTAGTGCATCTACGTAAGTGGTTGGAAATAGGCAGAGAGTTTTTAAGGTAAAGGTTTACCTGAAATGTGGACCTGTTAGTCAATTCCAGCACGGCGATTTAGTTGCGGGAGTGATTAGTGCTTGAGCTAAACTGTTGATCGAATGCATCCAGACGAGCACGCATTAAGGCCGTTCTTTCATCTTTAGCCGATTTCTGGTCGCGCACTTGCATAAGAGCCACAGGCGGACGCTCATGATCGACATGGCTATTGCGACGGAGAAAGCGATCGAGGCTGTATGACACAGCCTGGGGTTCCTTGCCTCTAATGAAGAGTCCGTAAGCAGCCGCACACTCGTGAGTGCATGCACGAGTACCTGTATTCAGCTACAGATCCGTACATGCAAGTATAGAGGTACATTGAGTGGCGCTGGAGCATGCAGCTAGCCAATCAACGGAATTGGAATCATCTTAGACACATGCGTTTTACAATGATGCTCTGGTGGTGGTAAAGATGAACTAAAAAAGAGAGAAGAAATAAATGGAAGATACTAAGAAGATGACAGGACTTACTCGTTACTGCCGTTATAATCAGCGCGAGTAGAGGACGGCGGCATAGTGGATGACATAGGTAGTAGATGATGCTCTATCAATAACTCGATACTACTTAGGTACTAAGGTACTTGGCCGACAACTTGAATAGATGAGATAGATGAGCGAAATTGCCTGAGAGTGGTATGTATAAATTGTTGAGAGGAGAGAGTAGCCTTTATATCGAGTGCATGTAAGAGCACGTATGGCCTTATGGCCAAATCCTCTCTTTTTTCGTGCTCCTTATATATCGTAATACCAAGATGCCCCGGACAAAGTGAGATGTTGGCAACCAATAAGCATCCATTGTGAACTAATGCACCTTCAGTTCGGTGTCGTCTAACGCTCCCGAGCGCTCGCCCAACCAGATACAGCCACTGGGGCCAGTGCTAGCGTACTCCTTCCGTACAGTATGCACCGCCTAGCGCAGCTATGGATCCTCCGGAAGTACCCGTTGACCCGTTGACCCACATCAAGGGGGTAAAAAAATATGGACAGCGCCGCCTATCACATATAAATTTATAGTGGTAGACCGGCAGTGTTTTCTTTCACCTGTTGCCGCATGTAACTCTTGCGTTGTCAGCCTAGCGTTAATATTGCCGACAATCTCTGAGACACTAGCAGAACGAGGAACTTGCAAAATGACCAGTTAATCCATTGGGAGCAGCGTCAACAAGGATCTTAGTGCCAGACCTAATAACCTTGATTCCTGCCAGCTCCGCTCGGCTGGAGTAGTAGACTAATGTACGATTTTTGTGATGTGCTGGCGTCGCCGTCTCGGCCATTGTGCAGAATTGATATCCGCAGGTGGGAATGGCAAGTCTCACAGCCGGCCGGTCAAGGCAGATGCGCCGGCATCAAGCTACTTGTACCTATACCTCATAGACGCAAATAGGGAATAAATGGTTAGTATTGAAAGATGACGAGAGAAATTTAGACCTTGTAAATCTCCAGACAAATCTGTACCCAGCCCTCCGTATACAGAGTGAATCCCCTTGATCTGCTCGAGTTAGCAAAACACATGACCAGGATTATGAGCCAGCTCTCAGTGGTTCCTCCCGCAACACTGCCCATGTGGTCTTTGAGAGCGCTCTGCATCCAGGCCTGATAGACTTATGCATCTGAATTCTGGAGCACCTAATTCTTTAGACCCCTTGGAGCCTTCGTTAAAGGTGAGCTGAGCATGCTCGGTCATTCACTGATTGGTGGATGCTTGCATCTTAGAGACGTGCATTTGTGTGCGGGGCATCTCTTAGGCAACATATGATTTTTGCCTTAATCGGCAACTGTCACGTCCCTTAAAATTTACCCTTGAAGAAAAAGTAGGTGTTTTGCCGCCTGAGGTACATACTCAATCTTACCGATTGATGTGGCTGCCGTCCGATCTGATTTGAGCCCGACACCTCCTCCGCCAATTAGCTACATAAGACCTAGCTCTTGCTGAAGTCTTCGTTCCCAATTTTGAGGAGGGAGAAGGATGGTCGCTGACAGAAGTGGCGCAGAAACAAGTGGGCAGAAGGGGTCATTGTCACCAGCGACGCCGTCGAGTGCCCGATGGTACGAAAGCACTAGCCTCAAAAGACCGGCCTAAACATATCGAGGTCCTTTCGTTTCAACTATTAGATCTAGTGGCTGAATGTAGTATGTATGCTTATCTCAACTACATGCTGGGAGCTCAAAGCAGAAAATGGGTGTCTTACGTTGTTATATGCTGAACACTTGCGCTATAGGCTCGGCACGCACAAACTGTAGCTGCACATATATGCTGCGTACATGCGCATAGCGATTGGACATTAAGAAAACAGCCTTGACAAGCAATATCTATTTCAGACCGTAAAATTACCCGAGCCCGACATCTCGCATCTTATATAGCCAAATAGCGCAATGCTGTGACTACTGTACATCATCTCTCCCATGAAGTCATGTCGCCTAGCGTCAGGGCTGTCCAATTATCTGTAGTGTTAAACACAAATGTTCTGGCGGGTTTCTCATCTTATGCTTGAAACATTTGTATAGCTGTTACTGCAACTTACTGGGTACTAGTATGTATGAGACAAGGCGCCCGGCTTGCAAGCATGTTGTCTTACAGTGGTAGGTAGGTACGTGCATTGTTCTCACTTTCATCTGCTTCTTGTTGATGCACCTCTTGCGTGACTGTTTGGGTCAACGGATCTTGTCCGTAATTTCCACTTGCAAATTGTAATTTAACATCACATGCACAGAAATAGCGATAAAACTATGGTCAATAGACTCCTTTGTTGTATATAATGCCTGATGATGAGACTTTCACAGCTTCGTCGACTAAATTTAGGATGTCTGGTACAAATTTATTGATTCACCGGATCATGGGGTTTCTTTCACTTATACTTCTTCCATACAAACAGTTCTTTATTTATTTAACAGCATACATTATTTATCATTCGTCAATCCTAAATTTTACCTTTGATACACGACTGTTCAACCATGTGTTTGGTATCAAATTGTGCCCCAAAACCCATATGGCTCCAATTTTAGCTACCGCTATGATCGCCCCCTTGGCCAAACTTCTTATCAAAGCCCTGTATCAGTCTCCGTATCCTTTCTTCTGCTTCAATCTCACTTTGCGGCTCTCCAAATCCAGGCAAAGGTCGCTGGTAGTTTTGTCCAGCTTTATCGCTGTTGTGCTGGAGAAAGCGATCCATATTGTAGGTAGGGTCGTGAGGGACCTCGAAAGATTGGATGTGATTGGTGGTGGTGACGCGGTGTTCTTTGTCGCTTTGTGATCTGAGCCTTCGTTAGCTTAAAGTACGTGTGTGGAAATTGCAAGTGAAAGAAAAAAGGAAAGACAAAGAGAAAAAAAAGTCAGTGGTTTAGCTCTGAGATGAGATTGCGAGCATTCCCCTCGCAATTGAAAGCCGTCCCAGGTTTGTTACAGCGATGAGGTTACACGTACAGAGTGCTACCAATGCAGACTGAGCTGGTGGATGGACCAGACATTTTGTGTAATGTGAGTTGTTAAGAAAGCCAAAGAAGAGCAATCCAGTCAAAGAAGAACTTTCCAGAGAGTGGGCCTACTCTATGATAACAGGTACGATGGCACAGAGATATGAACGTTTCGGCGATTGATGAGTGGAAGAGCTTGAGCCGTATTTATAACAACCGTAGACAAAGGATAGACTCCTTTTTCACTGCTATTCATCTACCTTGGAATCCATTGTCATCTAGAGGTTCCAGGAAGAACGGCGTATGCTGGCCAATAGATGAATCCGTTAAAAAGATTGTGGCTGACAGGTTTGCTCTTTGACCGAATATACGTATACTTTGCACTGCCAAATCTAGAAGTGGATGCAGAAGCGCCGTAACAGCACCAATGATAATCCAATCTCCACAAGATCGGGCGTTCCATGGCATATGTACACGGGCTACCTGCATAGTGGTTTACATGCCTCCAACGACGACTTCCGACTTATTCATCCCCAATCATTGTGTTTGATTTGTTGCATTACGCAGTACCTCTACCTACTGGTCCGTGTCCTCTCACCAGTGTAAGTGGCGTATCAAAAGCCAATCAAGAAAACCTCCACTGAGCCACCGGGACACCGTTTTCATCTCCGCCATCACGGACCTTTGACGCATCAATGCTCCGTGGAATTCGACGTATCTACACCAATCGGCAGCGTCTGCCGCTGGACAATCTGCCGCTCCCCGATGTTTAGCTCTCATGCCCGTATTATCCGCCAACCGGCGGCCCGTAAACCGTTAGACCCACAGGAGCTGGAGGTGTTCACTTTGCCAGATTCTTCTCCAGCGAGAGATTCTCATCTTTACCGCGAACCACAAGGAAATCGCCCGGAGTGTCGGAGTCTCCCACACACGTGCCTCTCTCCATCCTATTATTCCTGCAATGGACGTAACAAACCCTCCCCCCACCCTCATTTTGTCTTTCTAGCTGCTTTTCCGCTGGTGTTCTCTAGTGGCGCTTTCTCTTAGCTGACACGGGCCTCTGCGATGTTGTTTACTATACTAGAGGACGATGTCTGGAGAATGAACCACGCATTCACCTTACACCTTACACCTTAACGAACACAAAGCCACTAAATAATATAGTCGCAGTGTGTTCCATCTCAATCAAATTATCTTTACCTAAAAAATTTCTGGATACTTTAATTTTGAGGTAGCATTCAACAAGAGTTCTCCTATTTGCACCGTAACGAATTCCTATTTGAACCGTAGTACTCCACATCACAAGCTAGGTTCACCCTTAAATCGCAATTGCCACACCTATGCAGCAAAATACAGTGTAACGCACTAGGAAGAGATATCTTATAAAAATCCCACACAAGTCCAGCAGCTATCAATCAGTCCAATTCGTTCAAATCGCATTTCCAGCCCTTCTAACTCAATGTAAACGCTTCTCACGGGCCGGCTAGTTCATCCAGCTTAGCGCCGGGTTGGGTAGCTGGGATGACTTCAATAACTTCCTCAGCCCGGCTGCCCGGCTGCGGCCGTAACTTCGGCTCGGGGACGGCCTCTATAAGCCCACAACTTCAAAGGCATTGCGGTACGCTCTTAGCTTCAATCGCCGCTGTCACTGCGAATTCTTCTCTAACCGCCATTAATCGAAATTGCGATGTTATCTAGGCACATGGTCTTATATACGCAATACACCAGGGCGCTGCACTATATTTGGGCGTGGCCCCGTGGGAGTTGTGGTGTGTGCGCATTGATTAATGGAGTACTACGGTTTAAATAGGAATTCGTTACGGTGCAAATAGGAGAATTCTTTAACAAACTGGTTCCCGTTTCTCGGTTCACAGCGAATAATCACATATACCATGCCATTTACATTCATTTAGAGAAAGAAATGTACCCAGAGCCCAAAGCTCATTATACAAAATACAAACACCAATGCGAAGCTTTAATGCATGCTGAATAGAAAATGAATAATTCACGAATTCTGATCGCCACTCAAGGCGAATATTTTGTCCAAAGCCTGCAACTGAGCAAGCATACGAACTCTTGCTTGAGTTTCTGCCTCGGTTTCTCCCTGCGCCTCCCTCAATTCGATAGGCGGACGCTGGTACTCAGCAGCTATATTGGGAGTGCTGCTGTTGCGATTGTTGAAATTGTTGAGAAAACGATCGATGTTCTCGGTAGGATTGTCGGGGACACCGGCGAGAGCGGCCGGTTGAGTACAATCATCCGAAGGATCCTGAAGCTCGTTGCAGCTGTCCAGATTTCCAATTAGTGAAAGTACTGTTCGCAGAATGAATTCAAGACAGTTTGTTGGAGGATGATGAAGGAGGATTGTGACACCATAGATCAGACATTACACATGTGTATATAAGTCAAGGCTTGTATGCTATCACCAGAGCGAGTATACCAGGAGCGCACACTGTATCAAATGAACGAAGGGAAAGAGCAAAGAAATTGAAGAAAGCATATTTTGTTCCAGCACCATACTTACGTATTGCTATTGCCATGGACGGCACTAGTGGATGAAATAAACATTGTGGTCAGGTGTTTCAGGGAGGTAAATGGCGAAGCCTAGCTGGACACACGAGCTTTAGTAATCGAAATCTAGCAAGTCAGAAGAGTAGCGATGGACGGCTGGGAGTAAATTAGATGGGTGAGCAAGTAGATATATATGCAAAGATGAAGAAGAGGCGGGAAAAGAAGAGAAAAGAAACGAAAATCATCCACAACCAACGCGTCGGTTCGTTTTCTTACAGTAGCTTAGCCCGACGGAGATGAAAAGTCCGATATACATGAGCCGCATTGGTGTGGTATGGTATAGCATGGAGGCCATCGCCACCGTAGAGCTACCTAGTCAGGTCAAAGTTTACTCTAGCGCATGAGAGTGGCATCTATCTGTTAACCCTTGCCATCTATCAGTCAGATCAAGGCTGATTTAAGCACCAGTGCAGTTGCCCACAACTTTCTAGCTGTCATGGGGGCTCGCGCTTGGAGTTCAAGCTGATCCTTGGTGTTGGCTAAGGTATGTGAGCAAGGAGCCTGGGCCTGTCTGCGTTTACCTTGTCAGTGATTTTACTAACTCTTAAGCTTCAAAGGCTAATGGCGGAGAAGGCAGGGAAGGTCTCATCTCAAAGCCCGATATGACATGTCACTCACCCACACAGTAAAACGGTAGATTACATTTCGGGACTTCCCTTCTCCCCTCGAGACAATGCGCTGACCCGCATTAGCTCCCCCGCTAGTAGTGGAACTCACAACGTGGACACAAGAGTATTAAGCTCCTGATCTCAGCTCGCCAAGACGAAGAACCCCCTCAATCGGTCCACATCCAGGAGATTAACGCCGTTGGGGATAACGGCCTGCGGGTGGCCTTCTTTGTCTCTACTCCGTACCGCCCCCTAGTCTGTCTTCAACCCATGCTCGGCAACTAGCACAAAAGTTATCTAACCCGTGTGAAGCATGTAGGTTAGGCTTGGAAGCGTCGATCCCCTATACATGTGCGGCTTCAGCTGTCGTCTAAGGATTCAAGATGCCGTTATTTTCACTGTGACTCGCCATAAAGTACTACAGTGGACGGTCAAGGGTTTCATGGCTAATCGGGAGCCGAGCCGGAAGCCGGCCCACCTGCAAATGGACAATGAGTGACATGATGCGTTGACGCCAAGACCGCCACAATCTATAAGGGCCATTGCTCTGCGTCATCTTCAATGCTCGTGACTTTCACTCATGTGTTTTACCATTTTATTGATGTCATCTCACTTCAAATCCTCGCAATGGTCTTCGTCGCGAGTTGGAGCTTGACTTTTGTGCAATCCTACTGGCAATGCCCAGTATTCGTGGTAAGCCATTAATACTAATTTGATGCAGAAACTTCTTTTCTTCTTCCTTTACATCCATCTGTTACACCTTATGTCGGAATTTAGGCTGTATTACCCTCGGTCATGTGTGCTGTCCCCTATTGTATGCATGTACTTAGTACATCTAGTACTGATACGACAGAAGGAAATCACCCATAAGTCTATATGTACCGTACATAGGTACTTTTAAGGCAACCTGGGGTGGTCCGCGAGCCACCACCGAGTTTTCGCAGCCTTGTCACAAGAGTGCTTTCGCCGCCGCCGCTCAGTCCCTCTACGTGTGTAACATTTGCATTTCCGAAACTCCATCGAACTGAATACCACGCTGATCCAATAAAAACTGCCGAGATTAATTGAGACCCTCCAAGCCGAGCCGGTGAAAGAAGTCCTGTCTCTCTGAAGTTTTCATGTATTTTGCCTCACTTATTGAGGATGCCTGTCAACACTCAAGCGGATAATTCCGATTTGCAGCACACGCCAAATTGGGATGAACAAGCCGAAAGGGCGGTAGTTCAAAGAGAGTGAATTGGTTCCATGGTGACACGTACGCATCGCGGTTATTGATGATGGCAGCACACCAGCAGATGAACCAGCCATACCGAAGTATCGATCCGGGTATAGCCATACGTCTTCTGTTACCGGTCATACAAACATGTAGTTGCACGAATATATCAAAGTAAGCTGTAAGCCGTATATACAATGAGAGAGTGAAATATTGAATTGCAGATGACCAACCACCAACCACCGCTCAAACATTGCTGAGTGGGTTATGAAGATTCGACTGCTCTGTGGGGCTCACGACTGGACGCACGGACGCCTTTTTTTTTTTTTTGGCAGAGAGGCTCAAACAATGGAATATATGTAGTTCGCGGACCAGTTGCCTTGGGGGATGCGGCTCAAAATCTTCCGCCATACGGCTCCACGGCTCTTCGTGAGGCTGCGGATGAAAGTTCCTAACTCGACTTCGGCTACATACGGAACTTCTCTCTGCGCCGAATGTGTATGGTAGCTTTCACGTGGTTTCGTTCCCGCTACATATGGCGCGTAGCACAGCATGGTGTCGCAGCTTTTCTTCAACCCTTTAACATTCATTACACGTGCGTGTAAGACAATCACTGACATGCGGGCTTTGGCGTCACATCAATTCCAATCTCCCAATAATTGTTTTTCGAATGCATCATCGGGCTCCTGTCAGATCCAACATCATCTTATTTACACTCTCAGGCGAAAATTAATATCTGCGTTAAAACAACCCTTATCAACTCTACCCATCTTGCCAATCTTGATTTGCGTCCCATTCTTATATTAGAGGAAGCTAGATGTTTGGACGATCATGAGCGGAAGCATGGCTGTTGCGGAGAGTCGGGTTTAAAAGAAGCCAGCTTTCATCCTACCGAGCCGGAGTAACACAGGAGGTAAGTGGGCTTGGAGTTGGCAACAATGGCAGGCGGCGCAGAGGCACTGCTGGAAAGGACCGGGACCTAACAGGGTGCTCTGAAGCCCTTCGGAATAAGGGCGTGGCAGCAGAGTATTGCTCTCTCGCGCTTAGTTGCACGGGCTGTCAAATGTGGCAGTCCGGTGGTGCGTTGCTGCTGTTGATGAGCCTGCGCCATGCCAGTTGAGAGTACGGTGCTGTTATAAAGATCTCAAAACTGTGTTTCTCGCGCTTATCTGGAGGCCTGTCCCGATGTGTTTTGCTAAGGCCAAATTCCACGTTGTTTCCGGTCGGCGATGCAACCAGCCCTTACCTCTTTGGTGTTCGTTAATACCATGTGTTCACCAACTGGAAGGGTACACACGAAATCACGTTAATACGACTTGTTTTTTGATCACGGAGACTTGGGAGCAAGCGGAATAACCTCGCAGATGTCAAAATTAATTAAGAATTAATGCAAATAACCATGCAATACCCATGACCCATATCCAATACCAATATACCTCTATATAGCTCCAATGCATTTCGTAGACGCGCTTGCATGCAGCGGCCCTATTTGTCAACTTCTAGTTGCGAGCGGAAGAATCGCCACCATGAGGAGGGTCGCTGAGATGAGGAGGGTCGCTGCTTGTCCGTACCCGGGCGGATGGTTTTGGTCATCAGAAAGGAAACGGCCAAGGCTGTACGAGGGTTCGCGATCATGAACGGGTTTGTTGGCGGTGGTAGCATCGTCATTGCTGGCACTAGCAAAGAAGGAGGCTTGTCAGCTTCTGAAAAGTCATCGACAAATGAGAACGCCCAATTCCTGAGAGCATTAATTACTGTATGCGTTTTGATAAAAAGGGTTGGTAGGTGATTAAATCTTCCGAGCCATCCATGTGAACAGAGAATAGGAGTAATATGAGCGAGGGTAGATTCTGCATACGGCAGCCATGGAAAGATTGATCATCGAGCGCCAAAAAAAAAAAAAAAGAAGAAGATAGGAGACTTGGAGGTACGAGAAGTAATCTTTAAGATAATACTTACACATTACTGCCGTTGTAGGCACGAGCGGAAGACTCAGGCATTTTGATAAATGGGGGTTTCAGAGTAGAGGGCGAATGTACATAAATAAAGGCAACGGGAACCTGAACTATCTCAATGTACATAAGAAAAGAGATGGCGAAGGCCATTATTGTACAGATGGATTATTCCCGTGAGAAAGGGGTGTCCGCAGGTATTTATCCAAGCCAATGTGAGGTGTTTTGAGGGCCCCGTTCATATCGACAACCTATTCGACGCCCAGATGCGGGCGACAGAAGATGTAGAGTCATCTGCTATGATGCAAAAGCCGTGGACATTGAAGCATTCATTAATTGAAAACAGGTTGAAATCATCAAGAGCGATGCTACTCAATAACTTTCTCATGTCTGTCACTTAACCAGGAGGATAATCGACATGCTGATAATGTTGCCGGGTCTCAGTGCTACGGGGTCAAAAGAGACATCCAATCATCGTCAACACATATTCAGCCCGAGAGACAAAGCTAATAGAGGCGAGGTATTTTGCGCGGATGTCAAACAGTCGACTTTCGTAGAACCTACAACCTTGAGCAAGGGCACTAGTTGACACCAAGATAAATAGCGTTTCTATTCAAACATCTATAGTTTAACGACTGTTATCTGTGCCATATGCATATAGATTGGTATGAACGCTTATATCTCTCTAACAAATTCAGCACCCGCGTACGTGTGTAGCAGCCCATTTCCTCAGCTGCTAATGACGCTGCGAAGCGTCGCTATTCGAGGAAAATTTCGTCTCGAATTTGCGTAACTGCTCAAACGCGCGTTTCTCTGCTTCGGCTGGACTCTGTGCTGGACCATAGCCAAGTGTGTAGTTTGGTTCGGAGAGGAAACGGTTGATACTGTACGAGGGGTCGTGATCATCAGCCAAACGGGCGGGACTGGTGGTAGCACCAGCCTCGAGGCTGCTGTAGATAAAGAACACTTTGGTTAGCTCTCAATGTTAAGAAGTATATATAATTGTTTACATCTTAATCTCGTCAAATACTGTGCCTCATAATATGAGTCATGGAAAGACGTGAGCATATTATTATAGACTAGGAGCTACCTACATAAAAATGCTGGACAAATTTTTGAGTAGGTATAGGCTTCACGTGCATGACAAGAAGAAGTCTTTCGCAAGAGAAGAAGAGAGAGGAATGAAGCAACTTGTAAATGCCACATACCTATTGGCAACCTTAGGGGCGATATGAGCAGATGAACCGGGCATATTCTGAATAGAGAGCCAAAGAGACTGCAATTGAAGAGAGTTTATATAGAGATGAGCTAAGTAATGGCAGTCAGTGTAATAGGAGAGGGTGATCCAGACTGCTGTACAGGTAAAACGATAAGGAGAGAGGTGGACATAATCAATATTTATATTCACATGAGAGAAACAAGGATAAAAATATTCCTACTTAACACTGTGTGAGCTAGTCGTTCTGCTTGTCAAACTGATTTCAATTCATGTGAGCCATGGTACTTGTGATAGGCTCCATTTCTCCTACCCTTACCTTGCAACATACCTGATTGGAAAGCTCTCGTCATCAGCCCTTGAACTACATGTAAGGTTTTTTTTTGTGTTCAGGCCCGGCGTCCAATGGGCGGCGTGCGGCTGTGAGACAACAAGCTCATCTACATATCACTAGAGCCTTCCCCGCTAGACCGCCGGAAAGTAGGTGAATGCGCCTGGTTGCTAGCTGGTCAATTGAAGATTGGCTGCACATGCTATTGGAGAGCATAATAAAGTGTGTGCGGAGCCAGCAGTGCCGACTGCCGAGTAGCAAAGGCATTATCCAAATTGGTATCAAGGCTCGGCCCGGGTGTTCCACAGCCGATGGAGTCACTCAGAGTTTGGCCAGCCAATGGTGCGGCCTATAAGTAAGTCAATCACAGCAATAGCAGCATACCGGCTTTGCTGGAGACAAACGTGACGCGGGCCGGAGCCGTGCTGTTCTCCACATCTGGTGGAGACCAAGAGATTCAAGCTTCGAGTTTCAGTGACCAATGGGGACGGCTATGAAAATAAAGTGAGGCTCTTGGTGGTGTTTGGCGTTTCTTCTCTCGCCTGTCTCCCTTTCCAATGTCCTCGATCTCCTTCATGTTGCCAATGGACTCGGCCAGCTGCATAACAATGACGAGATGTCGAGCTTGGTGCTGATCACGTTTATATCCTGGTAGATGGCAATACTTACCGTCGCAAATGTTACGATGAGTAACTCTTGCGGGCTATCGAAGTTGGTCTAAAAGTTTACAGTCATCTCTTTGGGGCAGACGACTTATGCTATCGTCGTCAGAGGCCACAACGGGCACGCTACGGCGGTACCAGAAGATGCATTGCCACGGCAGAGAAAGGCCGCCTTCTCCAGGTCTAACAGGTATGTTCGTCGAGTTGGCATCTTTATAGTAATGTTTGACCAGGCCTCCCCATACGATCCTGGAGTTTTCAGTTCCCAGCCTAACAGGCCTATCATTTCAGGAACCCATTCTCATTCGCCAATTTCTACTAGATACCAAACGTCCACTCCAAGTACACGACCCCCTACTATCGCCAGCCTCCTCCCGATGATCGATGAATTCGTTTCTATGATCAAAACTGAACCGAATAAAGATAGCTAGCTTATGATTGATGAGTCACTTGATCCATCCGTTGTGGTAGCGTCCGAAAGTGTTCTAATTTTGCGACCTGGCAGAGAACAGGGACAGGCTGCCATTGAGCATAGAGCAGAGAGTACCTGACAAGAAGGAGGGTCTTATACGTGTTTAGCGCTAGTTATCTCACCTGGATAACCACAAACAAGGACAGCGAAGGTGTTCTGGTTGAATGTATCTTAGTATTGGCCTATGTGTATCAGAAGCGCGGAAGACACAAAAGCAGTCAGTTTCGGCAGTTTCATCAAAGTTGGTCAAAAAGCCTTATGCCAACAATAATATTAATAGAATAGATTGGGACATGGGAATGTGCATGAACCGGAGGGTGGGTTGATTTGGTAAGCTTGTGGATACAGGTAGAGATGCCACAGAGAATAACCGTATGGACAGAGATATAGCCAAACATAACCTGCTGCCTCCTCGAGTGGGATTGGCTTGGGGGTTTCTTAGCTGGTATTCAGCAGCGGAAATAGCGGAATTATGATGGCTGCGTTGATAACTACGCACAGCCACCTCCATACTTGCAGAGGCCGTCGGTCCACATGGTTACTGCTGCCTGGGAGGCATCGTGATTCGGTAAGTCCTCACCATACACACATAGAATCAAGGTTGCGTTGTATTCGTTCATACCCGGTATGTAATGCGGCGGTGTTTCACCTGGTTCACGAGTCGAGGGGACCCTAGATAAGCTAGTGCCCTGTATAATTACCGCTGCAGACTCGTAAAAAATAACACTGGCGCCACTTTGGGCGGACTTTTGAAGTAACCGTACAAGATGGCGGGTCTGACAAGCCATCCTTTGTGTTCGGTATTTCGTTCCAAAGTCGGGACGAGATACGCTTCCACCGATATGAAGCGTCGTACACGTGTAAATTTCCTTGTTGTAACGATTTTTAGATGCGGCGAGGCTTCCCTCTAGGCTGATTTCTGGGATGTTCTCGACCTGACGCGGAAATAGAGGCTGTGTAAGTCTCTCGACCAGTGAACACGCACGCGCGCGAATAGTGTGAATAGTTTGGGATCTTTCACCAAAGTCTCGACTTTGGCATTAAAGAGAGTAGACTAATAGCAAGACTTGACTTCCTTAGAATTTTGAATGTGTACCAGATTGGAAACATCTAGCATTGCTTCATTTTACAGACCAAAATAGTCATATACCTGCCAGCCGTGCCAGGTGTTTATGATGGCGCCGCCACACAGCCACGCTACATGCTCCTTAGTATGGCCCAATGCGGCATGATGCAAGGATCGTTGGTTTAGCAACCCAAATTTTAAGGTTAAATAGACAGTTCGTTTAACCATAAAATGTCTTCGGTGGAGAGGAACTCTGTATGTTGGTTCCTTGGGAGAAGCTATATGGAAACGGATTTGCCCAACCACGCGTTCGGGAATAGAGTCACTTCGCATCGACCCATTAGGCTCGCTTAGATGCGCCAAGATTCTGCAATTTACACGTGGTAGGCTCAGCCTCGTCCATGATAAGAGTCCCTACATATCACATTGTCATTCTTTCATTGTTCTCCGGAAGAGCAATGGGTGTTTATAAGACTTCGTCCCTCCTGCTCCCTACTAGCAATTCGGGTTCGTTGCCTCTTACTTCAAACAACCAGCAAATATGAGTGCTACTAATTTTACCCCTGTTTATTTGGACAATATCGAGTTCTTCATGAACTCGAGCAATGTCGTCAATCTCTCTTGGCCAAAAGTGTCGGAGGCATTTGTCAAGCCCTTGACATCACACGTAATTTCCTTCCCCGGCTACGATTGGACAGAGCCTTATCCAGGAGAGAGCATCATTGATGAGGGTCACACAATGGGCCTGATGATCTCTGACGATTTTTTCATGGATGAAACCGCTGCGAATAAGTCGACCACTGTCCTGACCGGGTTAACGTTCAATATCCCAAAGAGCATGAAGTCCAATGGCAAACCCTTGCCCATGCACCCTTCGTGGTACATCTGCCGCCACATCTTCATCTCGACAAATGCCGCAATGAAAAAATCGGGAGATAAAAATACTTGTGACGCACTGCCCTCGGATTGCAAGAATGACCTCGCCGCCGCTTTGACCAACGATTGGGGCTATAATAATGAGGATTCCATGTGTTCCCAGCGCATAGCCGATCCTATTCCTCAAAATTGTGTTGGTACATTCGGATTCTCTCGCCAGGATATTTTGAGTATGTGTATTGAGAAAGCACGCAATCTGCAGACTTTTCTGACTACTTCTTAGCTATCAATAGCACCACCCTGGCCAATCCGGTTCTTGGTCCTCTGCAGACAAACTCAAACCCGCAACAATACGGCTGGCGCATTGGAACTGGCTATCATCACCATCTTGATCCCGTTGCCCGTGAACTCGCCTACAACAGGACTTACCTCGTGGCTACGGTTTGGGGGTTTAGCAGGGGAACCGACCCTACGACCATAAGAATTCCTAGAGTTACTTGGGCTTGCATGTCCGGCGGAGATCCTTGGAAAGACCCTGTTCTCCATCATTACCCTGATCCTCCTCCGCATTTACCTGACAATTCCACGTCTACCAAGACGCCTTCATCTACTGCTACATCTAGCGGGGCAATTTCTTCGGCCACGACATGCAGTGAGACAACTTCATCTACCACTACGTCGAGGGGAACAGTTTCGTCTACTACTACGTCTGGCGGGTCGATTTCAACCAAGTTGGACATGCAAATTATATACGTACTCGTCGCAATGTTGATGGCAGGCTTTGTTTTGGGTCACGATGCTTGATTTGTACTCACTAAGACGTTAACTTCCATGTTGTTTAGAAGGAAGCTTAAATCTGCCTGTATGTTGCGAAGACGTATTGAGCCTAGTTGTTAGTAATGCTGGGACACGAACTGTACCTTTTTGTTGATGATTATTCTCGTGAACGTATCGTCGAATACTCAAGCGAGCTGGAAACTATTTCCGGGCCTTGGTATGCGTGATTTTCTGCCCTTCGGCGATTTCCACTTTCAACTTGGCTGCGCCTTATAGATAATATTTGTTCCAATATCATTTCTTGCACTGCCACGCAGACTATCAGCGAACAGCTCAGCTGAATTGACCACTGCCAAGCAAGCTAGGTGAGTGCTAGTGGCATGCCCAATGCACGTTGGTCTTGCGAGTTACGGATACAACGGCTAGACGGGTAGCTCCGAGTGTGAATCTTCCTGTCCAAAACAACATGATGGGTTTGGATGGTCAGTATATGACACCTTCTTGGTATCTAAAGAATGAGTAGAGTGGAGAGAGCTTGAGAGCTACGATTGATCTTTAATGACTGTTAGATAGCTCCGCCAAAGTTCTATTTTCAAGCCCAGTAAAACTTATTGTGTATTGATTTGTCATAAGTCTTATCTATGATTTATGGAATTTCTGGAAGATCAGCATACGTAAGTTTGGTCCTAAACCAGGGACTATGACCGCCACGTGGGATACCCATGTCGCGTTCCATGCTAATATCGTCGTCTGCATCACATTCATCGGTGCAAAGAATAAACTGAATCTTTGGTGTGATTCTTGGTAACTCTTTCTTCGCCTGTATCACCCACGGGTGACGGTCATTGAACACGTTTGTTTTTTTCGGCTCTTCTTTGTTGTTCATGTAGAGAATGGCGTGGTCATCCAAAACTGGTGGACTCCAGGCCAAACCTGGATCCCCATCGATTGGGATGAAATGTTTATTGCCATATTTCGCTCGCAGCCACGCGTAGGTCATCATAAGCCAATCCACCTTTTCTCTCCAATTTTGCACTCGACGCTTGAAGTCAGGCGCCAAGATGGAGTCAAATTGCTTGCGGACATGGAGTCTTTTGTTGTTAGAGCGGCGGCCGTTGTTAAAGAGATCATGGAATGCCCTTAGCCTTTTCTCGTCATCACAATCCACCAGCTGCACGGGCGCATCGAGAAGTAGGCCGAACAGACCAGATTCCGCAGCTTGCGCTTCAGTGGCATGAATGCAGATGAAAGCCAAGGTAGCAGATTGAGAAACTCTCGTAAATGGTCGCTCTGAAATTTTCGCAAACTCATTGTATGGGTCGTCCATACTGGGCATGCCGCGCGGTCTCGCTCTCTCGTAGATTTCAAGATGAGGGTAGTCTGAAAACTCATCGAGTTCTGGCGGCGGATCCAGGCTGAATGGGAAAAAAAATTCTGCTCTCAGCGCAAGCGGCATCATGTCCAATCGGCTAAACCTCTCCTCGAAAAACTCCATGACGATGTGAATATCATCGCCTTCCCAGCACGACATGCCATTGCAGTTAAGGTTGTAAAAGTCCAGGCGAGGCTGGACCCATATAGGCCCCAGATTGAACCAGTAGTCTTGCAAGACCAACTTGCCCCATTTTCTCACTACGCCCCGCGATTCGCGGCAGACGGAGGCAATGAGCGGCAGGGAAGCATTCCGTTGAGACGATCGCAGAGACCAGCACATCTGCTCTCTTTGGATATCTCCAAGAGAGAGGGGGTCGTCTCTTTGTACGACCCTGTGAGGAAGACAGTTGAACCAGATTTTCAGGCGAATTTCTGGAGGCAGACGGGAAAATTGGTGGAATTCAGTTGACTGAGCTGCCATGTTAGGCAAGTATTAGTGTCGGGTATATCCTTTAGAAGTGATGTTGGGTGGAGATGGGATCGGATCGTTCGAGCGGGGGCGGGGTTTGAGGATCCATAGCTTAAATACATCCCCTGCTCTGATCAACATGACTAAGCTTTGTAAGATCACATGAGATATGCATAACTCAGATGCATAACGAGGCAGCTTGACACAGGTATTTAAATATAGACATCTCATAACTCAGCTTATCCTAAGAGTGATTATCGCAAGATTCTCTTCATAGTAAGGATGTTCTGCCTAAATGTTTGTACATCAATAATTGACCTTTTTATCTGGCCTTCATAAGCTATACAATAAGCCAACTATCATGCGATTCTTTATCATTATTTCCTCTGGCGACGAGATACGGCGCTGCAAGAACTAAACTTTACGTCAAATTCTTGAAGCTGTGTCGAAATACGCTCCCTTTCTCTAGTTTCAACTTCCGCTTCAGTAACAGCTCTCCCTTGCGTTGCTCCAAACCCAGGCGGCGACCGTTGTTGGTCCGTGGGCACCTCCCCAACGTGGCCAAGAAATCGATCAAGGTTGTATGTGGAATTATCGAGAATGTGGTGGACGATGATGATCTGGCTGTTGGCTGTGGTATTTTCGGAATCGGTGGTACTAGGTGGCGTTGTTATTAGTACAGGTATCCTTGAACAGCTAGGTAGCACAGTGTAGGGAAAGGTGATGAATAGTTCGAGATTGGGGTGCTATAATCCCGAATAAAGAGCTGAGGCCACTGTAAAAACAATACATACGAGTTACTACCATCAACAGCGCGGGTCGATGAAGGAGACATGGTTGTAAAGCCGTAACGGTTGCTATACAGATAGTTCCGAGAGTAAACGGACGGGACTTTAAACTAAGTTCTGGCGTTAATTCAATAAAATAGGTGGTATAGTCAAGATTCAAAGGCTGTGTCGCTAATGACGTGACATATGAGGGGAGGTAGAATATATAGGGACGAGAGAGACCTCTCCAACAGCTGCATCAAGCTCAGCGCGCCTCGACACTCTTCTCTTCCCGTGTAAAACCCCCTGTCGGTCCTCTTTCGCATCCCCCCTCTGTTTTCCAGATTAGGCTTGATAGGGGCCGGGGCCTAACTTTGGTTTGTGGGCGAACGGATCAAGGTAGGCGAGAAGTACATATCCTTGGCATATCCCTTATGAGGTTTAAGGCTGAGGACATGGGGATATATGCGCTCCATATACATACTCAGAACATGCGCTAAATATACCTCCAGCTACTCGTACGTCTTTATATTTCCCTTAAATAAACTGCATCGGTCAGTTGTTACAGTCTGCCGGTGCTATGTCTACTAAACGGAAGATGTACCCATTAGTGTAAAGGAAAGGAGCATCGGATATTGCTAGATCCTAAAATATTCGGCCAAGCACTCAACTAGCGGAAGAAGTAAGACATATAGCTGCTGTGTAACCTACAAGTCCAATTAGTTCCCAAGCAGCTACGCCTCAACTCCCTGCCCAGGCCAACCTGTCAAATTGGGCATCAACCGGATGGTAGGTTTTCCGTCCCGGTCCCCTTGAAACTTGAAGGGGGGAACTATCTTATGCAATCTACTAGAATATACAGAGTCTGTGCGTACCTAGTATAAGTACGAGACATGCGACAACTACAAGTACCCAATAGAGATCAAAGCCACTTCATCCTGATTGGCAAGATCGTCTATGTGATTCGCAGTGTGAAATGATCACGAGCATTCTTATACTGCGTAACTCTCACGTTTGAAAGGCACGAGTACTGTGAATATAGTTCGCTTTCTTTGGTGGCCTACTCCAGCTTCGAGACTCTCATAATATACTTGTAGTTAATACAAGTATCTGAATTACATAAAAGAGAATTATGTGGAGTCCTCCAGATGTGGAAACAGGATTTACAAGGTACAGGGGTTGAGATCCAGGAAACACGACTCGGTGATCCGCGGGGGGATCCGAAAGGCCGGGACAATGTGGAATTCTCTAGCTCTTGTTTTGATGGTAGCCTTAAAGTTCAGCTGGCGAACGGGGCTGGGTTTAGATTGCAACGTTTTGAAGAGTTCCGCGGCGCGGATGCGGCTACCTACGCATCTAGTCGCGGTTTGGAGACAGCGCTGGCCATGCTCTAGAAGGTACCTATTGAAAAGCTCTTTATCTTTTGTCTCAAGTCATCTACGCGGACGTTACATTCGACTCTTTTGCCTTGTCTGGGGTCTGTGGCCTAGACTCAACAGCTACCTTAGCAAGGCTCGCTGTGCTACATGACAAGCCAGCTAACCTGTAGGCGGTACTATTGATCCATCCATATCATCTTGCTGAGCTGGTGTCTCAAGGGTAACAAGATGGTGAGCAGTCGCCCGATGGTATCTGTGGTACGTCTTGACAGAGCGATCCTTGAGAGGTTGGATAACCGTGCACTTTTAGTTGAGCATGTATGGTTGAAGGACCCAGGAACACTCAGCTCCTATTGCCGAGCGACGGCTGTTGTATGCGGGTTCACACTGCACAAGCACTGATCAGATTCAATGACTTGCTTGGCTCAGCCCGCTTCCCACGAAACGTCGCCCGTTATAGCACGGGGCATCTTGCGCTCCGAATCTTCACCTGGAATCTGCAAGGTACCCATCATCTACAGCGCACTACCAGCCTGTACCACTGTCCTGGGTCTATGATCAAATGGCATTTGTTTGCTGAGCTCGACCTGAAACTCTCGGTATGTAAGTTATATGAAAGGCGAGTTTCGGGCGTTGCGATCCAGGCCATGAGATGAGCACTAATGCTGATGGCTGGACGCCTTTGCCGCCACGAATGTATCTGAGCGGCTGGCTCCGGAGTATCAGGCTGTTTCGCATGCAGCGACCCGTTGGCTAGGATCTCTCCAGAGCAGATGCTCCAAACCTTTTCATTCAGCTCCATGTACTTTCTTCCAAATTCGGTGGTGGCAACTTGCTAGTCTGGTGGCCTTTGTCCTGCCTTGATGTCTCCTGAGGCCTGCATTGTCCACTCTCATCCCGATTGACGGCAGGCTGCATGTGTGCTGTGATCTGACAAGAAGATGAAGAGGCTAGAGAATATTGCCGCCTAGAACAGGGGTTGGGGAATGGGCAAGCCATGAAGAATTCGGTTATGCATTATGCATGCATTCGATCCGG